ACAATGGTGTGGTATGGTAAAAAAGGATGCTAGGAAGCGGGGTTTGCGCTCCACAGGCACTGCATCCTTCTGGCTTATTGTACATTCCTAGTTCCTTAGTTCAGTGCAATAGACTCAATCCTTCTCCTTAGAAATATCAGGTCATTGACTGTCGCTGCTGCAATTTGATTTCCTAAGTTTTTTCCGTGTGTTAGGTTAAATTGCCATTGAGCTGTTGCTTCGCATTCAAAGATGATATGAGTGGCTGTTTCCTCTTCCTTATTCCATAATCTGCAAATGGGATCATCGTTGTATATACCCATGTTGTGTAGATGTTTTCTCAGATGCCATTAACTGGTTAGTAGTCCTACCACTCCTCTGAGTTTGGCCCTCTCTAATTGCAGCAACGCTTTCGCCAGTCTTGGTGAGAGTTGTTTCATCATAAGTCTACTATGTCTAGCTCTGCTAGAGTTTATCCACTTCTCCTTTTGTTTTGTTTAGATTCATTCTGCGATGGAGGATTCTATATTTGTTTTTGTTATCCCAAGTATAGGTTCGGGGCCTATGTATGGTCTTGTAGATCCTCCTCTGTTCAGTCTGTCTGCTTTCTCATTACCCAAAATTCCTCTATGCCCAGGCATCCAAGATATCATCAGGTTGTTGTGTTGCCCTAAGTTTTGGAGATTTTGGATGCATTCACTGACTAATTTTGATGTGATTCTTTTACATGCTAATGTTTTAATGGCTGCTTGGCTATCAATTCTTATGAGGATTTTTTTGCCAGGGTAACCACTTTTAAGCACGAGCATTGATGGCATGTATTTCTACTTGAAAGACCGAAGTGTACTACCCTATTGAGTTTGATTGCTCATGTTTTGGGCTTGTGCAGAAAACGCCTGATCCGGTTATTTCGTTTGTTTTGGAGCCATCTGTATACCATATCATTGTATCTGGTGCTCTCTTGTGTTCCTCCTGTCCTTTATAGTCCGTTGAGTCATACAAACTGTCATGGAGATGTCTTGTTAATTTTTTAAAAATATTTCTTTGTATCCATGAATTACACACATTAAAAATTGTTTTTAATGCTATAAAATCACGGACAAAACACTACCACTAACACCAGTATTGCATCCGGACGACACGTGTTATGAGTAGCCTGCCAATGCTGGCACTCGCGTTGTCTCGTTAAGGCGAGGAGATCTCAGGGGTCATCGCCGTTTGATGCGACGTGGAGGGTTCTCGGGATGGGAAGAAGTGGAGAGGGCTTGAGCAGTGCCCCCCCCCCCAGCTTAGGATGGGTTGAAAGATTGGAGTGAAGAAGCGGGAACGAATCAGTTCTTTGAAGAAGGGAATGTGAATGTCATTGTTGATGTGATTTACATACACAGTAAGGGGTTTGGTATTAGAAAGAAGTAAGTAGTAAGTTATAATTCTGCACCTTAGACGTCTCGGATAGTTTTAATCTGGCTATACTGTCGTCATCTTCATTGGTAGGTTTGTGTCAACTGGCAATTTTCAGGAAAAATACATTCTCCCAACAGCGCCTGCCAATACCACCCTATTTTCTATAAAAATGTTCAGTTTTGCTACAAACAAACTGCACTAAAATTAATTTTAAATGTGTCTAAACAATGTTAAAGAAAAAAGTTTAAAAAAACGGTCCAGATTTGCCATGTGTATTGCGATAAATTTTTTGCGTTTTGCAACCCCGCTAATAATGGACACCTAAAAACACTGTCAAAAAATTATATTTTTTTAATATTCTGTAAACCAACTAGTGTGAATTCCATATACTTAGGGATATAATAAATCTGTTTATGAAACGAAAAAATTAGAATGGTACAGAAATGACAGATTTAATAAATTTGACGATTTTATACTGTATTTTGGATTTGATTCATAATATTTTGAGGAACCGTACAATAGGCTAAACCCGCACGGTCGGAGAGTATTTCGTAAGTGTTGGTATTCACCGCCGTTAGAACATACAAAAGTTATATAATACGTTTTAAAATATTGGTCATTTTTTTCTTTTGGTTAAAATAATATCAAATTGAGTGAGGAAACTAAATAAGTATTTTAATATTTGATTCGTAAACAGTATACGATTTGAGGAAAATTTCCAATAATTAATGACAAATTGCTTATTTTTTACATTTTGTTTTTAATTATCAAAATTTCCAAATGGTTTGTTTTGAAATAAGTTACAGTAAATTTTAATCTACAACAATTTTTTTAACCAAAATAAGTAGGTTGGAGAAAACACTGGATATGTATATATTTTTGTAAGAATTGTCGCCATTGCCTAGTACTTTCTAAAAGTACTTCCAATCAATTTGTCAATGTCTGCATCTTAGATAGCCAAAATACTGGAAACAAATGGTGGCACCTACAGGTGCTTTGGAAAATGGCTACCACTTCAATTGCAACAGGGATATTTGAATGACATCCTATTTAGTCAGTTTCCACCTGTTGATGGACAAAATCTGATGAAGAAAGTGTAGATAAAGATAAGGGTGATTTGTCATCACATCCCATACTTTCATTTATATGTGACGAAGTAAATTTGCTAAGCAGACAAATCAACTATAATATGTATATAAAAATATAGCAAAAAAATATCACTTTTGCTACAAAACTAGGTGCTCTAAAATTCATAGATAAACAAACATAGTTACTGATTAAACTTCAGAAAAAATTGTCCATTCTGAATATGGGATTTGGCAGATTAAATGAGTATTTTTAAATAAACCAAATTCCGTGAGAAATAACAAGCGAGGTAAGACATGATTTATTTTGTTTCCCTATGCCCAACCCTTAAAAAAATAATAATAATTTTGCTACAAAACTAGGTACCTACCTTTAAATGCGTAGGTAAACAGAGTTGCTGAAAAAGTTCAGAAATAATTGTCCAGACTGAACATGGGAATTGGCAGATTTATTGTGTTTCTCTATGCCCAAACTAAAAATATAGATAAAACTACAATAATCTACCTGTTGCAGTTGAAATTCGTGATATCCAAGGCACAAAAGCAGTAAGCACCTATGTTGTGATAACTTTTACAAAAATGCTTAAATATACTGTGCGTAAAAACAAAGATTTCACCCTAAATACTATATTTGGTTAAAACACTTTTGCAGCTTAAAATATACTGTGATACTTTTGCAAATACGTACACTTTCGGATTATTGTACCTAAAAAAAAAGTATTAAAAAGATTTCTTAGTTTCCTTATTTAACCTTGATTACTAAAAGAAACAATTTGTGAAATATTTATAAATCTTGTCTGCCCTAACGGCGGTGAAAACCAACACTCACGGAACACACACAAATCTTGCAGGTTTAGCCTATTGTACGGGTTCCCCAAAATATTATGAATGAATGCAAAATACAGTACTAAATTTACTAAACCTGTCATATCTGTACCATTCTAATTTTTTTCGTTCTATAAAAGATTTATTACCACTAATAATATGGAATTCATACTAATTGGTTTACAGAACTATTTACAAAAAAAATCCATTTTGCTACAAAACTAGGCACCCTAAAATTCATAAGTAAAGAAACAGTATTAAATAAAGTTCAGAAAAATTTGCCCAGACTAAACATGGAATTGGCGTATTAAATGAGTATTTTTTTAAATTAAATAAATCAAACTCCATGAACAATAACAAGCGAGATAAGATTTTAAAAAAATCTGCTTTTTATAATTTGTCTGTTGATATCCAAAATTAAAGAAGTACCAAAAGTTTAATTAGCTACTGCAAAGTTGACTGAAATTGGTTATTAACTATATATAAACAGAAAGGAGTTTTTGTTTGTTCTAAGAGTTTACCGATATAAAGCAGTCAAAAGAAGGAGAATATTGTTGCAAAGATAAGTTTGAAAAAAAATTATGGATCACTAACACAATCCCAAGAGACCTACATCAATACTACCCTTGTTAATAGGTCAAGGTTTAAGTTTTGCTATATCACATTTCTAGGATCTAACAAAGGTATGAGACATCACTCCAACAAGCTCGACTGTACTTACCTAAAGGATTCTGTGAACCTGTTTTCAAGTAAATGCATACACTCAGCCTGTCTAAGGGGCTACATTTAATTTGATGTCAAATGTAATTTGGACAAGAATCACATGCAACATTGACCAGGTGTTGCATTCGTTGCCAATGTTGTAAGGAGGTACACATTGAATATGAATATAATGAGTCTCTAACCTTAAAACTGCTAGATAGAACTACAAACACATCTACTTTCTAAGTTTGACCTTTCTTCTAAATAATATATTGTAAAATTAAAAATAATATTTTTCAGTTGTCTTTACATAAAACGAGTATTTTTGTTTTTTTGTTTTAGTAACTAGAGAAAATAATTACATAGTTATTTCTTTTCTACATGAATTATTTTTTTAACACCTATTTTGTCTCCAGTTTTGTTAGAAACCAACTTTGATGAAGTACATAATTATAGAAGCAATAATTACACGTGTCTAATTCATTTTACCTCGGTTTTCACGTAATAAAATAAAAAGAATGACCCAGGTGTATTCCTATAATGTGTGCACATTTTCTTATAATGTGTGCATATTATACTATAATGTTTTTCCGGAATCACCACAGCTGTGACCATTTTCATATAAACTTAATACTTAAAAGTAACTGCATCAGGTGCAGCGACAAGTCTGGGATATGCATTCTAACATGGTTTTTGGAATTTCACAAAATTAATAATTTTAAATCATTCAACTAATAAAACATGTTAATATTTAATATTTTTTATTGCAAATAGTTTCATTGTTTTTTAATTTTTTTTAAAATTTTATTTTATTTATATTCTTTTTTAATTTTAAACAATTAAAATGAGTGAAAAATTGTAAATATATAATTTTATTGTTGGAAATATGCTGTTTTTGTTTTTTTAATCCATTTTGTAAAAATTAAAAACATGGATAATAACAATAGTAAATACAAGAAAAAATAAATTGTTTTATCTAAAAGAATTTTTTTTCTTTTTTGTTCAGCATAAAAATATTTTCCCTCATTTACACTTTGGTAAGAAAAAGTAGTCAAAATAGGTTTATGAAATAGTTGGGAATACGAAAATTCTAAATTGTTCATTCGTCAATAGTTGAGCCCAGCCAAGGGGAGTGGACAAAGTGCGTTGATTTGCGGGTTTGCATAATCAGACTTTCCCTGCATATTTTTGACCAGAGTAGAGTCATGATCCAAAACACTACAAAAATGGCTTTTGAATCATAAAACAATATTTATTGTTAATTACAACCTAAATGCAATCAACCTATAAATTTCAAGAAAAAAAAATTGCCGTACCTGGGCGATGGTCTTGGATTTTGGTACCCCGTTGAATGGGTTAACTGGGTGATCCTATGATCAGGACGGATGCTGGAATAAGTTAAGTAAAACGTAACGTGTTTGCCCAAAAAACAAAAATTGTTCAGCAGAAGTTTAAGAGTCCAGAATGTAAACAGATAGGGGAGAAAAGAGTGATTTGTTAGAGATGGGGAAGAAAGCAAGGTCTCCATTCCTCCCAAGGTGTCTACTACACATTGGATACAACCTCAGCGTAATAGATAGACAATCCAGCACACATTTTTTTATTACATTGTGTGTGTAATTATTTATTCATTATTAGAGAAGAATTTGGAAAATTTTTTAGGGAATTTTGTTCAAAGTGTACTAGAACTAATTTATTCATTCATAATATTCATAAAAACAAAATATGTACAAAATAAAGTAACAATTTGTTATTTTGAAATTAACCCCTGTTTTAAGTAAAAAATAGTTGTACCTCTAATCATTTTGCGTGAAATAGTCGGTGATTTTTCTTTTAGGTGTATTTTTCTGTTTCTCCGCACTTCTGGAATCAATAATGGAAAATTTGTTCAAAGCTTTCTCATAAGCTTCCCATCTTTCATGTTCTGTTTCTAAGCACCTTTTCCTCCCCTCTTCGGTCTTGAGAGAATAGGTCTCCGCACATTTTGGTTGGGGCAAAGACGTTCTGCTTGAACATTCACCATTTTGGGAGTTGACCGTTTTTCCCTTGTGATTTACTGTTTTCACATTTCGGTTACTTTCCACTTCTTCCATTGCACGGACTATATCAACGAAATCTTCTTCACTCTGATCAGTTTCTTCCTCTTTCTTCGCAACAATTGCAATTTTTTCTAAAATAACGCCTATTTTAAAACAAAATGACTCGATGACTTATTGAAATTTTATTCTGAAAGAACTAACCTAAATTGGTTTCTAACATATCATAGATATATTTATACAATAAAGCCCCAGTTCTGTTTGATCTAGTTGTCGAATATCCAGATATTATTTGCCACAGCATGCCTTAAATTGAATCATTTTAGTTTAAAATTTGTTAAAAAGAAAATTCCATAATTCTTTATATTGATATAACTTACCTACATTGACATCCTTCTTATTTAAAAATGTATACATACTAAAAATGTCATCTCTAAGTTTGACATCTCCAAAAGTGAAATAAGCTAGTCCTTTTTTACAAACAGAAGCAGCCATTATTTGAAGTAGAGCTTTCAATCTCGAATCACCGTTGAAAACCCCACATCCCCAATTTCCCGTAGCGATATTTCCTTCTGGGCCAAATGAAAATCCAGAATATGCCTAGAATGATCAAGCATAAAATTAATTAAAAGAAAAGTAGATTTTTTAACAAGTTACTGTACTTTATTGAGTTCTCTGTTTATCGACTCTTGTGAAAACTGATCTTCGGAATTTCGACTATAGTCGCTCGCATCAATAGCGACAACGACAGAATTCAGCCTATTATAACTATCACGTTTCAACTCTGTTTCTAGAAAATTTCCAGACCAGGTGAAAGTATCAGCATATCCTACGTATTTATTAAACCTCTCGCAACCTTAAAAAAAATATTATCAGCAATCATTTAAATTTGAAGGGGTAGTGATTTTTTAAAATATTTTTACCAGTAACAATAAATGCTTCCGTATCGCCAAGGCATTCAGTGAAAAGTCTTGATACGACAAGTTCTGGACAAATTAGAAATTTAATTTCTTCCTGAACCGACCCTCTTCCGAGCACTCCGCCTCCGACAAATCTAACAATAAATTATTCTTCAGCGACACAACAACAATCTTGACGCGATAATTATTCCGTACAGTTCATATGGTATAGTGTAATGAAATGTATATAATACTTGTTAGCGAAATCAACTTCCATGAGTCCTGCCCCTTGGTCTTCGATTGTTCCAACACTTGTGATATGAAGTTTGCAAAATTTCTCTTCTCTTTCTGACCAAACAGGAAGTTCTTCAGGTTTAACATGCCTTCTAGTAAATGTAATAATGCCTTTTGGCTCTAGAAAAAAATATGAATACAATTTAAAAATATATACATGTATAGTAATACAGTAGAACCTTTATTATCACAAAGCCTATTTCAATGGATGGTTAAAAAATTAATATCAAAAATGTAATATGTAATTAAAGATATTTAACATTGTTCTATTTCGTTTTTGTGTGTATTGAGAGTGAATATTATGGTGAATGTGTGGTATGAGATTGTACAGTAGAATATGAAGAACCCCATCAATCCTCTATTAGATTAGTTATGTACTGTTTTTATTTGTATGTTTATACATGATTGTGCATAAATTAGTTTACTATCTATCAATCAGTCAGCCAATTATTAACTAAAGAAATAAACAGTAGATAAATTATTTGATCACTATGACCTCTTTAATTCATTATAATCAGGTTCTACTGTATAATAAAACTAGAATGAGTTTAAATTAAATTTCATACTTTTTTTTATTATTCTTCTGAAGTAATTGATAAAACACTTGAGCTTCTGTTGAACACTGCTTAATGAATCACATTGAAAAAGCCTTAAAAATTTAATTTGTTAATTAATCATCTTCATGGTAAACAGTTATATAGAAAAAAAGAAATACCTATTAAAATTTATCGTTGGAAAATTTTTACAAGAATTCCTCCTTGGAAAAGTGCAAAGGAAGGCATTTGCCAACAGGATACACACCTGTTCCTGGGACATACTAATACTACGGTTTGCGCCTTTAAAAAGGAAAGGTATTCCACCTCGAAACTTATCTTCAATTTCTAAAGCCATATTGATAATTCCGGGCAAAACAGATTTAAAAAAATACTTCGATTCTTCAGGCTCAAGTGTCTGAAAATTTATGAGATGTGAGTACTGAGATAAAATAACTTGTTAAAGCAAACAACCTCTGAGAAAAATGTATGTAAGGCATCAAAATTACACTGCTGGCTAATTTTGGAATTGTATGAAAATATAGCATCCTCAAGTTCTTTACTTGTTGAAATTTGCGTCGTAAGTGCACTTTTGACAACACCCCATCTTGATTTGAGCTCGGTCTAAAATATTTACTATCATTATTTCAATAAAACTTTTGTTATTATTAAATCTACCTCTGAGACGGGGTATAAACTCTGAGGCGAATGTGGCATACGGACATGATTCAGGTCCCATAAGTCTGATTTTTTGGTTGGATGAGGCTCCGGAGGTCCTTCTCGAAGAGGTAACTTTAATTTGTACAAACATTAAGTACAATTTGTTTTTTCGTTAATTACAGAATATGACTCACTTTGAATAACACAGTGTGGTTATACGAAGGTCTGATGGACGGATAAGTGTGAATTCTTGAGGACTTGAGATCTTCCAGAGAAACACCGAGCCAAACAGGATCTGAAAATGGTTTTCTTCATTGGTGTACACAAGTACAAAGATTGATGGTAGGTGTTGGGTGTGAGAGTCGGTGAATATATTGAACCTGACTGGGTTTTGGGTGACTGAAAAGTGACCACTTTTTTTACTCACAAATAATCAGATCTCAGTATGGTATGGATGAAAAAAAAATCAATTGTTATCTGCCAAGCTTGTGGACAATGTTACAATCGTTGGCACTATTCGGACTGATTGGTCTTGTTGGTCTTTAAAGAAATTTTAAACCATATACTAAAAACTTAATTATATCAATTTGTAGACATCCTTAAAATAATTCAAAAGCTAGGCAGATAACAATTGAATTTGTTTTTTGCCTTTTCATCCAGACATACCGAGATCCAGATTATTTCTGAATAAAAAATTGTTCAATACATTTAACACTTTGAAAAGTTTACATTTTAATATTGGGTTGTCCGGAAAATAATGCAGGATTTTAAGTTTTCATTAAAAAAAATCTATATAAAATATTCTGTTTACGTTTACAGGATTACTCATTTGTATGAATGTCAACACTTATTAATCCTCTTCCAAATGATATTGTTTGTTTACCTCTGTAGCATTCCGCTACTTGGAAATAATTCAGTCATCCTTATAATGTCAAAGCGAGAATTTCGTACGATTTTCTTTTACGAGTTTAAACTCGGCCGAAGCGGAGCCCAAACGGCTAGAAACATTAACCAAGTCTGGGGCGAGGGTTGTGTTAATGAGTGCACTGTGCAAAGGTGGTTTAAAAAATTTCGGGAGGGAGATTTCAGCCTTGAAGATGAAGAAGGTCGTGGAAGGCCTTCCTCTCTTAATGATGATGTTCTGCGATCAGTGGTGGAAGAAAACCCCAAAACAACTGTTCGAGAACTTGCAGAGCAACTCAAAGTCAGTAAAACGACCGTCGCTGACCACCTCAAGGCGATTGGAAAAGTGAAAAAACTCGAAAATTGGGTTCCACACTCATTAAACGATCGCCAAAAAAATCAGCGCTTTGATGTTTGTGCATCACTTCTTTGTCGAAACAAAAATGACCCATTTCTGGCCAGAATTGTTACATGTGACGAAAAGTGGATTCTCTACGATAACACTAGACGTTCTGGACAGTGGCTCGACAAAGGAGAAGCTCCAATACATTTTCCAAAGCCCCCAACTCATCAAAAAAAGGTAATGGTTACGGTATGGTGGGCTTCATTTGGTTTAATACACTACAGCTTCTTAAATCCTGGCGAAACCATCAATGCTGAATCATACTGTAACCAAATTAATACCATGCATCAGAAATTGGCAGTAATGAAGCCCTCTTTGGTCAATCGGAAAGGGCCCATTTTGTTGCATGACAACGCTCGACCACATGTGTCACGTGTAACGTCACAAAAATTATTGGAGCTTGGCTATGAAACTTTGCCTCACCCACCCTACTCTCCGGACCTCTCGCCTACTGACTACCATTTTTTTAGACACCTGGACCACTACTTACAACACATAATATTCAAAAATCAAACGGAACTGGAAAATGCATTTATTGACTTTATCAATTCTAAAAATTCTGAATTCTACTCAGACGGAATTAATAAGTTACCAACACGTTGGGAGAAATGTATTGAGAGTATGGGAAATTATTTTGATTAAAGAACATTGCTTTAAAGTAACTAGTTTCTTTTTTTTTGTTTAATACCAAAATCCTGCATTATTTTCCGGACAACCCAATAGTTTGGCTGAAAAATGTAAACTAGGTAATGTATGACCTAGGCAGTCAGCTCTTAATAAGTCTTAAGTATGTGAAAGATTAAAACTTTGAATCTAGTGAAATTTTATAAAGGAAATCAAGTGAGGAGTGAGTGGGAATTTGCATCTTGTGAATTTTTTCTGTGAGGCCATAACAAGTACAAAATGTATATCAATCCTACTAGCCTTCAAGCAATTGCATAAACAGGAACAACATACAGTATACTATAATTAATTAAGGTTTTTAGTTGAGATAAAAAAGTCAATGGCACGAGCGGGATTCGAGCCCACGATCTTCGGCTTGATACGCCGCTGCTCTGCCACTTGAGCTATCGTGACCTCGATCCACTCGGACATCAACTTCCCATCTCAACCCCACCTTTTGAGTTTCCCTTCTTTTTGCCATTTTTCAAATGTCGTGTAATCGGATTGGATTCTCGACGACAAATGAAATGGCCACGGAGAGCTTTAGTGAAGTATATTTCTTTTTAAATCATTAAATTCACTAATTTCGTGGTCCGCTTGACCAATTAATATATTACAGTTAATTAAGGTTTTTAGTTGAGATAAAAAGTCAATGGCACGAGCGGGATTCGAACCCACGATCTTCGGCTTGATACGCTGCTGCTCTACCACTTGAGCTATCATGCGGTTGAGATGGGAAGTTGGTGTCCGAGTGGATCGAGGGCACGATAGCTGAATTTAATATAGTTTAGTATACTATTTAAAGTGTTATATGTATCAACCACTTTTTTATTAACAAATAATCTGGTCATCAGTAAGGTCTGGATGAGATGATGGATAGGAATAAATTGTTTCAGTCTAAAGTGACCCACCTTCAGTGACTTTTTTTTATACAAAGTGGTTTGACGGTTTTTTACATTGTTATAAGTTCAAAAGTGTATGTCTAGATGACTTTGGACTTGGCAAGTAGTCCATCAAGAATCCAATTTATTTCCTATCCATCATCTTATTATGGAGTCTCACAAAATCAGGAAGGACACCATGAAAAAAATGATCTAGATGAAAAAAATGCAATTGTTATCTCCCAAGCTTGTTGGAAATAGTGTTAAAGTCTTCGGCAATGTTGGGACTGAGTCAGCCTTCAAAGAAATTTGAAACCTTCTATTGAAAATGTAATTATGTCAATTTGTAGACATCTTTGAGATTGTTTTGACCTGATGATAACCTTAAAACAGGTCGAAAGCTTGACAGATAACAATTGAATTTTTTTCATCCAGATTATTTGTGAATAAAAAAGTGGTCTATACTGTTAACACTTTGAAAAGTTTTCACAGTTTGACTGACAAATGTTCATTAGAATATCGTGGGTGGTCTGCTCTACAATGTAGCTCCATTATGCAAGAGATGAAATTTTGAATCTAGTTGGAAATGTGAAATTTTATGGAAAAAATCACTATTTGTGAGAAGTGAGCGAGAATATGCATCTCATGAATTTTTTTTCTGTGGGGCCATATCATGTCCAAAATTTATACCAATCCTACTGGCTTTCAAACAATTGCATGAACATGAAACAACATGCAGCTATAGCGGTGTACTATTTAAAGTGTTAGATGTATATATCACTTTTTTACTCACAAATAATCTGGATGTCAGTATGGTCTGGATGAGGTGATGAGTAGGAAATAAATTGTGTTTTACACAAGATATTTATTTATTAGAAACGTTTCGGTCTAATGTAGACCATCTTCAATTATTTTTTTATACCAAATGGTTTGACAGTTTTTATGTTCAAAAGTGGATGTCTAGATGACTATGGATTTGGCGAGTAGTCCATCAAGAATACAATTTATTTCCTACACATCATCTTATTATGGAGTTCCACAAAATCCTTCTTCTGTTCAAGATGCTGAAAGAAGCAGACTTTATGGCACATCCAGATTAAACAGAAAATCATTCCTTTTTATTATACCATCATAGCAGTGAGCTTTTTTTTGGTATATATCATTATTTTTCCAGTATAGGTTTTTTTTTTGGTTTTTTTTTTCCAATAAGTTGTTTTTCATGCTGTAGCATGTGAAAAGATCTTTTTTGTAGTGTTTTCTTCCTTTTTTTTGTCAATGTTTTATTCAACTATTGCACCATTAAGCAGAATTTGCCTAGGCTGAATTGATAGTTGGAGACAATTGGAAGCGGGCCCCATCATAAGTCATCGATGTTCACTATCAAAAAAATGGTCTGGTGGGGAAAAAAAAAAAAATCAATTGATATCTGCCAAGTTTGTAGGGAATAGTGTTACAGTGCTTGGCAATGTTGGGACTGAGTCGTTCTTCAAAGAAATTTGAAACAACATATTAAAAACTTAATTGTATCAATTTGTACACATTTTTAAGATAGTTTTGCCCTGATGGTGTGCTTAAAATAGGTCAAAAGCTTGGCAGATAACGACTGATGTTTTTTGTTTTTTTTTCATCCAGACCATACTGAGATCCAGATTATTCAGTAGTATATTATACAAACATGTGATGGTATCATGCCAGCAAAACTGGAAAAGTTTATTTAGAAGGTTCATGGAGAAAAGAAAAGAAAGATAAATATTTTTTTTGAGATGAGGAGGTGATGTCCGAGAGGATAGAAATCACAATAGCTCAAGAGGTTAGAGCAGTGGCATATTAAGCCTAAGGTCATGGGTTCAAATCCCGCTCGTGACACTAACTTTTTCATCTCAACCAAGACCTTAAATAAAAAGAATAATTAATTGAAATAATTCATAAACTATGGTCATCAAACATAAATGGATTAATATATAACAAATAAAGAAGTAATCATTTCACTAACAGCCCCATAGCCACTTCAAAAATCACTGAGAATTGAATCCTGATTACACAATGTTTAAAAACTGGCAAAAATGAGGAAAAATTCGAAAGGTTGTAGGTTGAAATGTGGTATTTAGAGAACGTTAATTAATGATTATTTGGAGATCATGAGATGTGGTCTGGTGTGTCGTAGGTGTAGAAAAACATTTTCTTTGTCATGCCAACATTTTTATCTTTATTGAGATCATCTTCAAGGGCTGGGATTATAAACATTGTTTAAATTATACACTTGTATAATAATAGCCATATAATTTAAACGATGTTTATAAATCCCAGGCCCTGAAGATGATTTCAATTAAGATTGAAATGTTGGCACGATAAAGAAAATGTTTTTATAAACCTACATCACCCCAGACAGCATCTCACGATTTCCAAATAATTATTGTAGATTGAGATGAGGAGGTGGTGTCCGAGTGGATCGAAGTCACGATAGACCAAGTGGTTAGAGCAGCGGCAGTATTGAGCCGAAGGTAGTGGGTTCGAATCCCGCTCGTGACACTAACTTTTTCATTTCAACCAAGACACATAAAAATAATAATTGTGATGTTCGTATCGGTGGTGATGGGATTATCGGTCAATGGTTGTTGGAATCAAAATGACTTTGAATCTTTGCCTTTCCAACAACCATTGACCGATAATACCATCACCACCGATACGAACATCACAATTATATTCAACGGTCATCACAAGTTACATAAAAAGAATAATTAATTAAATTTGTTTAGGGCTTACTGGCCCTCAGCATCCCACGGGTCATCCCACAATTTGAGCCACCGTTCAATGGACAATTGTGCACAACTATGGACATACCTAGATAGAAGTGACTTGAGTTAGGATCATTTAGGTAGGTGAAGCATGTCTTTACTAACAATCAGACCTAATTTGATAATGAGATAATTTACAAAAGTTACTATACTTGAAAAGTGATTTAAAAAAAGTTTATAGACAAGTTTTATAAAATTACTGCAGAAACTAGTGTACCTTCCTGAGGACTTAGGTGCTCGCTGCTTTCCTCGAACATATCTTGAGACGAATTCAACGACATTTCGCCGTGGGACTGACTTTGAAGTCATATCACGTACAAAATCACATAGCTAAGAGATTAATTTATTTAAAAGTTGTTAAAATTAAGACAAATAAAAATAAGGGGAGATTGTGGCTGTTGGTATAGAAAAACAGAAAATTGTTGAATGGAGATGCATTTAAACACCAGAGAAACCTCACAGAAGAGGCTACATGAAACTGGGGTGCAGTCGTTCAGACTGCTGACTGGGCTGTACACAAACCCGACTCGGGGGGGAATTAACTGTTTATCAGTCACGATTTCTTATTTCACGCAAGATTTTTTTTTCATTTTCTGATTTTCGACAATGTTCCAAATTTAGTTTATCACACGGTGCCGGATGTGAAATCCGACCGTTTTTCTCCTCGATCACATGACTTAGCAGTCTCGGTGGATTTGATGAGTGGGCTTCTGTTGCAATAGGCATGCATATCTGCAGCAGGAGATTTTTCGCTTGGACCCTCGTCTATGCTGCGACTTTGGTCATCGTTTTCGAATTCCTGCTGTTCGAGGTGCAGAAGCTGAGCTGGCCAGAAAATAAGTGCGGCGGACTCAGCGACTTTCACAAAATCCTGGTAGTCGCGGATCCTCAGATCCTGGGCGAAAACGGAGAAAACTGGATCGCCAGATGGGACTCGGACAGGTACATTTATATTATACAGAAAATTCTTTTACCTCCACCTCTACAACCATAGAAATTGTCATTTTAATCAAAGCATAGGCAAATTTCAGTATTTTTTTACCTTTAGGTTGGAAATCTAGAAGAATATTTCAAGTTTGATCACGTCTTATGCCTGAGAAACAGATGAAAAATTTATATCCATCAATATTTTAAATTAACAGTTGACCTTCAATGTCAACATTGTAATACAGACTGCTAAATTACTTGGTAGCAGTTCTAAACTGCATTATCGTATGGACTGAAAAACCGGTGAATATATTGATGGACAATTTTAACGCACCACTCAATTTATTTAGATTACTTACTTCCTTTCCTACTTTTGTACAGATGAATCCCATTTGCACAAAAAGCATTATGCCCTTCCATTCTGCTGCACCTAAAGATCGCTTTCGGTTTTTCTTTGTCCTTCGTTGATATCATTTGATATTATTCTTAGTCTTAAACTTTTTTCAATGGCACCAGGCATTTGAGTTGATATGACATTATTAGGGGTCACGCTGTCATCAGAAGGACAATGAGGTTCTTTAGCCTGTGCACCTGGTACATGGCCTTATCGCATGTTAAGATTCTCAAGATAGGAGCGAAACCTCTTTTCAAGTGGTCAGACCTGTGAGGTTTGAAGAAGAAGCCACCTATACACAGACTAACAGAGAGAGTGAGCCGACATCTATGTATCCTACTGTGTGCTTCATAGCTATTTGAAAGCTGCTCACTCAGTACTAAAATGCATCCGTTAACTAACCGGCTATACTATCTAGATAGAGAATGTAACTCTATCTCCCAGAGTGTTTGGGCCCCACCAAAGTGAGAACTTCCAGTCGGATCTGATCCGGCCGTGGTTATTGTTTATAGTGGGATTTCTAACCACTCCCTAGAGGAACTCTCCCTTTGGTACAGAAGTTAGGCACTACCAAACAACAGGGTCTCACCAGTGAGCTACGATTCCATTCCCATGTAGTGCGCAACCAGGCTTGAAACTTGGAATTTTGTGCTACCCTATAGTTCAGTTGGTTATGCACCCTCCCCCGTCTTTGCAGATAGGATCTAGTACCCTAACCCATCTGTGCTGCTGATGTATAGCCAAAACACGAATACAGCTTGTGCTTTATAGAGTTCACCACACTCTTTAGGCTTCACCATTCTGCTTTGCCTGGAAATCCCCCTTGCAGGAAGGTTTGGGAAAGGTCTTAGGGACCTGGATTGAAAAAAAGGAAATGCCCGAGAATGCGAGGCACACCATTTCAGATTACACCCCTCACCCCAGTCATAACGTACCACCCTTTGGCACGGTGATCCCTAAATTATTGGAGGTATGGTCCCTCTGGGTGGATGAAAGAGATGAGTTTCAGGACCGAACAAGTCGAACGCCCTCCTGACCACCTGAGTTCGAGGAAAAAATCTGAGATTGTATGCCCATCCTACATACAACCTGGATTAAAAACTATTCATTCTCAAATAACCTTCTCATATTGGTGTATTCAGAACGAGAGGTGGTTAGTCTCTCCCCTGATAGACAGGCCACGGGTGTCCCCAAGGCTTCGCAAGCTTACCCTTTTGTGTTGCCACTGAGGAAATAACCAACAACAATATTAAAAAAATTACACTACAATGATCGAAGTCACGGTAGCTCAAGTGGTTGGTTCAGTGGTGTATTGAGACGTAGGCCATGAGTTCGAATCCTGCCTGTGACACAAATTATTCGTTTAGAAAAAAAATTGTGTGTAATTTTTTTTTTTATTGTCGTTGGTTATTTCCTCCTTATTTCCTATGTGCAGAGTTGTAATTATTGAACTTCTACAATGCTGAAATACTATTCTAAAAGGAAAAAGCCAGTCCGAGCTTTGAAAGTGTTACAATGAAAATAAATAATATCTATAAATATATATAAATAAAATCTATAAATAAATATATCATATGACTTCAGTAATTACAACCTTGCACGGTAGTGAAAGTAACAGTGTAAGTGTAAACTGTATATCTCTTGGTAGCTAATCTAACAATTTGGCCGTGATCCTGGTTGGATATGAACTACATGCAATAGCATTCCACAGTTTGCCATATGACTGGTCAAAATAAGGATTTTTTTACTTGAGAATATTTGTGATCACATTCTTTCTTTAACCCAGGGAATTTTATTTGTCCATCTTGATTATCAGAATAGGTTTTTAGGTGCTTAATCACTTATGGTTTTTGTTTCAACATAATCTGCAGTTTAAATATGTTTTTTCAGGCCTTTGTACTCATTTTCTGATAAGAGAAATAGTGAGTAGTTGATAGAGATTTTAAGCATTATCACTTGTTTTTTTTTTCAATATAACTTGAACCATAAAAAAATATAATCTAAGTGATTAACTAATAGCAAAGAAGGTCCAATACAGTTTGACCAGATGAAGAGTGTATAATTTATCAATTATAATTATTACAAATTAAAAAAATCTGAATTGGCATTGGTACATCCTTTTCAGATATCAGCTTAATTTTTTAAACATTTAGGTCATGCATGTACAAACGCTTTAAACAGAAAGAAATGTTTTGTTCGTTTTTTCATTGAATTGTTTTGATTAGCATCGTGCCTGTTCATCGTGTGGAGTTGAAAAATTAATTTAATAAATAATCTTTTTTGTCGAACAAGTTAAAAGCAAGAAAAATTGTCATATTCTCTTAAATAAAAGGATAATGTCCTTGTCTTCGACAGATAATTAATTTACTCTTTAGGTTCCTCCAAAAGACTTTCTGGATGGCGTATTGGCATGTGAAGCCATCATTAGTGCTATTTTTAGGCGATTTAATGGATGAAGGCAGCGTTGCAACAGAAGAACAATACGCAAGATATTATGCTAGATTTGTACAAATATTTCACCTGGACACCCTTCTTGTCAACAAGGTTTTATTTATGTCTGTTTTGTTGTTAAGGTGCAGACATAAATGTATAAAAAAATTGTTTTACAGACAGTTTTTATCCCTGGGGACAATGATATTGGAGGGGAAAATGAAGCGATTACACCAGCCAAAGTAAACCGTTACGAAAAACACTTCGGCCCTCAGATGAATGTCATAGAATTTAATAATTTACAGTTCATCAAGGTATATTTAGATGTATAGCAAAACAAAAAATTAAAAATTAATAAACCTTATGCATTAGGTAAATATGATGCTTGACAGTTATCCTACATTAAATGACATTAAAAATAACAAATTTACAAGAATTTGTCTGAGCCACATGCCAGTCACAACTATGATTTCGGTAATGTCATATGACACCTTTAAGTAAAAAAAAAGTTAATCCATAAATAATTTTAAATTGTTCTAGGTGTTATCCAACATCCGGCCTCACTTGATCTTTTCTGCTCATAATCATATATCGGCGCATTTTGTCAGCAATGCAAAGTCAGGGGAACAATTCATGTATGAATCATTCATCACAAACAAGTTTGCAAATATGATGTCCTCGTGGAGATTCCAGCTTAATGATTTATACCCCAATGAAATATTAGTGCCGACATGTTCTTATAGAATGGGAGTTCCTCGCTTGGGCTATGGGGTCCTGTTGATAGGTATTTGACTTAATTCCTGCACATCTAGTTCTTCATTGTTTATTTATTTATTTGCCTATTAGATAAGAACAAAGATGTCGCTTGCTACAACATACTCTGGCTTCCAAACCGTCTCCTTCACCTTATGCTATATCCATCGATTACTTTTATTATCATAGTCGCAATTATAATTTGTAAAAGGTTTGTTTTAGTTATGTCTAGGTACCCGACAAGATGCAGAAGATAGTGTACTGCTCAGGTAATTTATTTGATTGTTTTATACGAACATATATACTTTTTATTAAACTTCTAATTATTTTGATATAGATTATTCAGCTGAAACAAATGTTGTAATTCAAAAAGAGAATTGACAAGCTGAAAAAATGGAGTAGCACATGAACGGCCAGTTCCTTTTAGCTACATTTACCTAGTCATGTTTATAACAAGATATAAAAAAAATGTTTTTGGTCAAAATTGCATGCCAGTACTTTGGTTTATATTTTCTCTTTAAGAACTTTTATTATACAGTCGCATGCGTATGAGTTCTAAAACAATATGTTTACAAATAGAATATAAATGGTGAAAAATAATTATTTTTTTATATGAATTTAAAAAGTGAATACATTTTATATGAATGTTGCCAAATGACTGCTTTTACATTTTTTTTTCTTCATAAACAGGGTATGATTTTTTTTTTTTTTTTTTTAGCTGTTTTATGAAATGTTGCACACTAAACTATTAAATGTTGTTGTAAATTTAATTTTTTCTTTAAGATTTATTTTATTTCTTCACATAAAAAATAGATAGTTCAATAGTGTGATTGACAATGTATTTGAAAAACTAGAATCTTACTTTTTTTCACTATAGTAGAATTCTTCATAGCTCTGAAATAGTGTTCACAAGAACTACGGTGGTTACCACTTAATCCATTGGGCCAGGATAAAATTCAACATATTAAGAGTAAAAACCAGAGAAATCAAGTGGGTTTATTTAAATTTTATTTAAGCATTTTGTCACAAGTTATGCAGTCTGTACAAATATAAATTGAAATCACTTATTCAGTGAGAAAGTCTGTGATATGCGTTTATTTTTGAGGAAATATTCTTTTAAATCAGTTACAAGGCAGAGTAAATTAGTAAAATGTACTTCACTCAAAACAATTAAACACTCTTGTCTTCTTGTTCGGCTGTTTCACCATCCAGGTTCAATCTATCGTACGAATGCCGTCCAAATAAGCAAAACAATTTTATGACTGTTGCATCTCGTTTACGTAAAATGTCTTCAAAACAAAATTCATCCATGCATTGCGTCATTTCACTCATGCTAAAACTGCAGTTATTCTAGCTTAGCTGTTTTCCCTGAAATGGCTGGTTTGTTTTTAAACGTCATGCAATAATCTGGAGGCGCTCTCTAAATCCTGGTATTGTCGTTGTACTCGTAATCAGGAGAGAATTCATCTAACATTTTAGCCCCAGTCATTTTTAATCTCGCATTGCCAATGCCAAATTTGCCCCGTTTGAATGGGCATCTTGCTTCTGTGTACTTTTTTTGGTCACAATGCTGTGTCGATTTTTTCTCTGATCCATCCAGCAGTAAAATTTTCATCTAGTTTTTTAATAAATCAGTTGCTTTTTATAGCAAGATAATTTATCAGGGCATTCAAGAAAATTCTTAAGGATACTGCCAGTACTCATCTACATTTCAATTGGACAAAATTGAAACAACAATTTGTAATTTCATTGCAGCATCTTTCTTCGTCATTTCATGGGATTTCGTCATATCATGCCCAAAGCTCTTTCTTGTGTGTTATGAATCACCTTTCACGAATTAAATTAAAAGTGGAACAAAACTGCTCACTGATCCACTGATAGATAAACAAACTGAGTGTTGGAAATGAAAAATACTATGAATCATAAAAATGCTTTAATCATTATATACCAAAAGGTTATTATTTGGTTCCGTCCTGCAAAAATTCACCAAATAAGACCACAGTTACGGATTAAGCGGCAACCACTGTATTTTGAGTACTTTAAGTAAAGGGGGGGGTGAAAGTTTAAAAGGAGAAAACTAACAAGTTTTTTTTCTCTTTCTACATTTCTCCTGTCAGATTATATTGAAATTTTGACACCTACCTTGCTGGTTTATATTTTCTTGTTTTTACTGTATTAAAATTACATACAATTTAACAAACTAAATAATAAAGATCAGCACTTTGTCCGAGGAAATTTAAGTAGACTTTATTACTTTTTAAATTTGACAATTTAAAATTCTCCTTCTCTGAGACATCTGAAGAAGAAATTACTCATTCTTGATTTTTTTTATATTTTTTAATAGATTGAAGTTTACCCTAAAAATAACTATATATTTCTATTGTTAATCCTGTGCCAAACTTAATAGCATTTTGCAAAATTTGTCTTTTATATCTTGAGATAAATATTTTTTTAAATTAATGGTCAGCAAAAATAAACAAACTGGTAGCACATTAATGAATAGAAAGACCAATGCCAATAATTGAATTAATAATATACTGCCTATACAAATTTCCCAGCTTCTCTAGAACTGAAATTTAAAAAAATATTTATATATTATTAAAAGAACATGATCAAAAAATTTGACCTTTCAAGGTTGAAGTAAAAAAAAATTGTGGCAATCTTCTCTTTTTTACTCCTGCCAGTATTTTTACAAATTTATTCCAAGAAAAACCCTACGTAAGGTAACAAACCGTGCTAATGAGCATCAAAGGGGCATAGTCATAAAAAGGACAGAAAAATGAACAATCAAAACGTTCTCTCACTTAAGTGGCTATTTTTATAAATTTGCATTTTAATTATAAAATGCATATGCTTAATGCTCAATTATCAGTAGAATTTGTACCGATTGAGAATTGTATGTCTGACCAGAATGAAATAAATTTTTCCTCAAATGTATTTATTACTTTATGAGATACTAAAATGATTTTGTTGCTATGCTAAATACTGCTGTGAAATAAATGAAAAAAGCAGTAGATAAAAATTTACCCTGATATTCTAATCAGTTGAACAGTTGTGATTATTATGTTTATTTTTATAGCAATAGTTGACTCTATTTGTAATTGTTAGTACCAAAAATCTCTTTGCTGAACTGTAAAACTAAACAATTATAATTTATACAAATCCAAAAACTTAAAGGTTATGCAAATACAAAAAAAAATACTGTTCCAACAGAATTAATCTTAGTTTAAACCTTTTCATTTTAACATTTATCTTGGTTACTATTCAGACATGAATTTTGTAGGGTTTTAATTTGAACTTAACCAGGCTCATATAAATTCTAATGTAATGCACTTTCAAACCGAAAGGTATGTTCTTATGATTTAACAAAAGTTGAACAAAATCAATCATAAGAACTTTACATTTAACAGAGTTGAGTGTTTGGGAGAAAATGCTTTTTGTTCTATTGCAATGAAGAGGGCTTGTTGCTTTGGGTAGTAAGATTTGTGAAATTTGACAAACCGGATCCACTAATGAACAAGCTCTCTGAACAGGCACAAAAATATTTATTTGAAATCAAGTTTCAGCCAACTCCACTGAACTCATTAGATCGTCATCTGCTTGCCTATTGTATCAAATATACACCCACAGACTGTTTCACTGGTCAAGTTAAACGTCTTCTATGTGATAGGAAGAGGTGTTTGGTTGATGTTACAGTTTTTTAATTGCTAAGCAATTCTTCCAGTACAAAATGCTGTGGACATTTACGATTTGATGAGTATAAAAATAAAATGTAAGAGAAAATACGTTTGAGTTCTATCTTAAAAGAAATAGAAATTGCCGGTCGTATTATTGCTGATGAGAAGAACAAAAATTAAGTTGGTTAGAATCAAATATGTATAAAAATAACATTCAATGTTTATATAATCAAACATTGATCAGTTTTTATTGAAACGTGTGAACAAAAACTGATTAAAGATTCCATCTCATTTCTGATATCTATGTAATATATCTGATGAGGAAGGCCATTAGACTGAAATTGCATTAAATTGTTATTTATAAATATTTGGCATTTCAAAAACATGTTTTTTTTTCTCAAGAATATATGCCTTTTGAGAGAAATGAGATTACTTATAATATTTGTTTTTTTAATTTTCTGTATTTTTTAATAATGTACTAGTTATCAAATTGTATTTTATACAGCTTATTAATGTGATAATTAATCCTGCCTTATGATGTTGAATGAAGATGAAAATTTATGTAAATTTCGCTTGAAATATAAGCTCAACCTTTTTTGTTTTGTTTTGTTTTTTTAAATAAATATACTATTGTAAATTGTTATGTACAGTTGTTGTTATTTTTATAGTTGCAAAGCACTTATTGATAATAAAAAGCATTTCTCTGCTCTATCATTTATATTTTATTCTACACATTTGTCCTGTTAATTCAATTTTTTTCACTCTTATTAAACCTACATTTAGCATAAGTTGTTCACTGGGAAACATTCGATGATTAATATGAATAGTACTTAAGATTATTGATAGTTTGTACAATTTAAATTATTGACTAACTTTTAAAAAATATCTGCACAGTTTTTTATTTGATTAGGCCGTGAGGTATAGAGGGGCTAGCAGTACTATAAACAAAAGAAAGAATCGGTTACCAATATATCACAAACGCCAATAGCTTGGCAGGAGAAACATGGGAAACAATAAGAAGGAATAAAATCATGAAATACAAGGAAAGCATTAAGGTTGGTGACGACCAAGTAGTGGTCTGTGATGTCCTTGGTTAAGTCCCTGACACTAGGAATGTTGTTTTTTTATGTCTTTTTTTTCTTACAAATTATTATTCTATTGTACTGTTTCTATAAGAATGATGAAAATATTTTTTTCCCTCGCCATTTTTTATTGTCATTTGCAAGTGTACATTTTGATATTTTACAAAATAATGTGCTTAATAAAGAAAAATACAATTATTGATTTAACGTAACAATAATGAGTCATTATAAAAAAATCAAATATTAATATATAATAATAAATAAAAAAATTATATATTATACACATAATAAAAAATATATATACAATAAATATTAAATATATGTAGTCCTTAAACAGACTATTTATGATCTCAAGGGTACCTATACCACCAATTTATTGTCATTATCATTTATAATTTAAGATCTGTTTAAGAGCTGCATATATTTACTATTTATTGTATATATATTTTTTATTATATGTGTATAATGTATGATTTTTTTTTCAACCTTAGAGCCAAGAGTACCTTTAGATTTATGAGAATAATTGGACATTGTTAAAACAAGTATTTACATATTAATGACATATGTATATGCTGTTCTAAAATAAATAAACATATGGGGATCAATAAAAAAATTACCGATTTCACTTTTAAACTAGGAAGTTTCAAAGATAAAAATCGTTATTTACCATTTTATAGCTTTAAGAATAATAAGAAAAATGGCTTTCCTTAAACATATAAAACTCTGAAATCGAACAGTCAACCACTTTTTGCTCCATTCCTTTTATATAGAGCAACTCAAATTGATACGGCAACCCATCAGATCAAAGGTTAATAATGTATTCCGTCCAGAAGAGATAAGCTTAATTAGATTATACGCCGTACCATTCAGAAGCTATTTGTTTTTTAAAGGAAGAGGAAGCTCTACAAGGTTAACAACTTGTGGAGCCTTGAAGTCATCACATTAGTTTAGTAGTAGGACAGTATTGCTCAGAGAGCTTCACTGAGAGGGAGACATGTAAGTTTAATAATAAAGTTTTATATTATTGATTTATTATTATATATATTTGATTGGCACTATTCATGGGTGATTTACCATTTACCAGCTGAAATGTGGGATACATCAAACATAAAACTTCTTCCTTAATAAACATTTCTCATATGTGGCTAAAAGCCCTAATTCAACCAATACTATAGCAGCACGCACACAGACAATAAAAAAATAACATATTCTATACCTAACCTAAGTAGTTTGGTAGGTCTGTGGGGTACTCTATATAACGCCACAGATCTGTACATCCACCCTTAACTATTCATGCAAATAAAAACATTCCTCACGTAGAGCCTTTCAAATCATATGTACAATTGAAAAATGGGGAGGCACCGGGGTGTAGATATTACACTGATGACTTGCTCTATCCATGTGTGAGGGGTTATATGGCATACGCGTTATTGATTTTAGATAAACCAGCCTGAACGGCCGGAAATTTCATTTTTGGCGATTTTTCAAAGTTAGGAGGTGAAGGAGTACACAAAATTCACCATTTCTGACATTTTTATTGAAAATTTACAACTTGAACACCCTAACAAAAAATTCTCCGTTACAAACCTCGTTTGTAGGGGATCGAATTCTCCATCACATTAGACCAACCCCAGTCCGATTCGTGAAACATTAGAATTTTGGCTAATTTACTGCTTCACCCAAAACGAATGTTACTGTTTTCTGATGGGTGCCCACTACTGAATAAAATAACGTACGAAAAATCTGAACGGCTTACTTAACGATTTTAGACAGTGTACGCATCTTTTAATGAACATTATATTTTATTTAATGTAAAAAACCATTACAATAGCTTGAGCGAAAAATAGCAACATTTTTCTGCATTGCCAGTGCGATAGTGAGCGGAGTTTGGAGTTTTGTAACGGAGAATTTTTTGATAGGTTATTTCGATAAAAATGTCAGAAATGGTGAATTTTTGTACCCCTTCACTCCTAACTTCGAAAAATCGCCAAAAATGAAATTGGTTTTAATCTCATTCGATGCAGAAATTAATCCTTTATAAATGTTGTTTCAAGCTGTTTTACCGTCAGGCTAACAGTTTACTAACAATTTCACGAATAAGGTCAAAAAACCGTGGTTTTTCATGGGTTTTTGCCTGTAGCTCGGAACACCTTATAGATTTTTGGTCGCTTTTCAACGAGGAGGTGCCTACTGTCAATTATTATAACTAAATTTCTCATTTTGTAAATAGATATAAATACAGAATTATAATTTTAATTATTATTATTATTATTAATTTTTAAGGGCGTTTTAACGGCTAAGGTCATTTCACGCCCTAACATCCAAACCTTCTATCTTAGGTTAGCTATATCTCTTNTATATATATATATATATATATATATATATATAATAAATTGAACTAAACGATCTTTCAAAATTGCTTCAAAAATAAAACAATTAAGAAAAAAAGACCACTTTGGTGCATAAAATAAATGAAATACTTGATAAGTATTTTAGTTTTTTGTTAAGCTTACAATTAGTATTTTACTAGTAGGTCAATTGAATAGTTTGTAATCAGATTTTTTTTTGCCAGACAATGATGAAAGCCCAGATATTTCTGGCTTTCGCTACTTTGTTTGTTGGGTCCGGCCTTGCAACAAGCACAGTGGCCAGGGTCGCCAAAAGGAAATGTCTCGACGCTGGGGACGATGCAAACGTTTACAACTTTTCATTTATGGATCTTTCAGGGAAAACTAACGTGTCTTTGGGAGATTTCAAAGGAAAGGTAAATATATAATAAATATAATACAAATGCAAAAAAAAAGACACATTTTGTTGTTTATTTCAAACTATATTTATTTTTATCATTATATTAATTACAACTGCTTATTTTAATGTAAACCAAATTAAACAAGATTAGAAATTCACAAAAATCAGGAAGTTGTAATTAATATAATGATAAAAATACATACGTATATTTTGAAATAAACAACAAAATAGGAGTGTCCAGCTTTTTCATCGTTAACAACATAATAAATAAATTGGTTTGTTTTGTTCAAAATATAATTTTCTAAAAATCATTAAGTTAAACATGTATAAAGATATTTTATATTGAAATTAAATACATTTAGTAAACATTATTGTTTCAGCATATAAGAAAAACTCTACATAGAACAATTGCACACATCCAAATTTACAAATATATGTATAAAATTCATTTTTTGAAAAATATTTTCTCTGCTCGTAAATGTAGACATTTAAAATGAACAAATACGTAGTCTCGCTGGTAAAGAAACAAGACAAAAATTTGCTTTGTGTTTCCTGTTTCTTGAAAATATATTAACATTTTTAAACATATTTCTCTTTCAAAATGTTCAAAGTATATTGGAATGTTTCAACTGTTTAAAACAATCGGTTCCACGTAGCATTGAGATAATATGTGTAAATTTTACAGATTAGATTACATGCATTAGCAGTAGTGAGTGTTAAAAGTAAAAACAAAAATTTATACTTCTGAGGAAGATATTTTTTAAATGATTTTACCAAAATGAAAACTAATGCAGATTAATTTTTTAACATTATTTTTCATGTTGTCTAATTTTTACGAAAAACGTCAATGTTGATCATGTTGAAGTGAACATACTAAATTATACTTTTTTTTAAACACCGGCACTTCGAGGATATGAACAACCTCGTAGTTGAAATACCCTTGTAAACAATTAAATAAATAAATAAATATAGTTTATATGTGTGTTAATAAATTAGATTTTTTATGTAAGGTCTTGGTTGAGATGAAAAAATTAGTGCAACGAGCGTGACAATTAGTTGAGTTGACATTCTTCACTTTAAGTTTTATGTCCCCAATGGCCTCGCTTAAAATCACCAGGCCATAACTTGTTTTTTGTTTATCTCTTTAATTTTGTTTATCTTATTTCGTCATATTTTGAAAGCTCTTAATATAATTGTAACACATTTTTTCCTTTTTTTTGTTATGCAACTATAACTACTAATTTGGAAATTTCAAGTGGTTTGCATTTGGCTTTTTTTCTGATAGGGAATTTTGGTTAATAATAAAATGATGACCTGAATAAGATATCTACATTATCAAAGAATATCTTGGGTCACCACCAGAAAGACACAAAAAAATATAATAAATGTGCTATTTATAGTTTTCAATCATTCAGATGAGAATTTTTTTATGATTATGTAGAAATCCATCACTATCTGAATCGTTTTATCATATTTCTAGACCATCAATTTTTTTTTTGAAGAATTTTTTATTCAAAGTACCATCTAGCAAACAGTGAGGAATATGATGAATATAAGAGAATCATTGAACAAAATAAGAGAAAATGTTCAGAAGTTTTTTACCAATAGTGTCATACAACATATATAACACAATTCAAAACTTAATCTGGATGAAATGAATTTCCCACCACTCAGTCTCAACCAACTGCCTTTTAATTCAAAACAAAGGTTTAAAGTTAAAACTGAAATACAATGGAGGTCAATAGTAGTTGTTCTTCCCCATACCCTAAAAGACTACCAATGAAGTCGAAAAGACATATAGAAAATCTCTGGGCCACCACTGAAGCGGGAAAATATGACACTTTACAAACGAAAAAACATAAAACAAAAAAGCAAAAATATAGAAGAAAATCAGATGACTGAAAAAGATATTATAGACAAAGTAGCCCTAGTTTTGTATCACATGACTTCTTCTATGATGAATCAGGTCCTCTAAGGGCCACTTATAGACAGCTAAACAAGAGCTTCTTTACCGATTTAGCCCATTTCATTTTACTAATGTTTTTTATTGCATTTTTTAGTATTAAGGGGCCAAATCGTAGTAGTTAAGTTTGGAGGTTAGAACATCCTGCACTTAGCCCCCGATCCATCTTAAACTCATAAATTCATTATTGTTAAACTAATAATTTTTAATATTGTAAATAGTTTATGTGTTAACCATTTAAATCATTAGAAACAGTTCCATGTCCTGATGAAGAAGACATATTACTGGAAAGCTTGATGAAGGAACTGAGTGTTTTGCTTTCTTTTTATTTCGCCTTATCCCTTATTTTTTTTTTTTTTTTTTGTATATATATATACAATTATAATATTAAAGCTGATATTAATCTCATCAAAACTAATACATATAAAATTTACAGATGATTCTTGTTGTAAATGTAGCGACCTACTGATCCTTCACTCACCATTATTTTGGAATGAATGCACTACAGACAAAATATGGTGATAATTTGGTAGTTTTAGGCTTTCCATGTAATCAGTTTGGGCTTGTGAGTATTTAGGAATTTATACTGTATGTTTATACTTGCCAAAATTAAATATTTTTATATTTTAGCAAGAACCTGGGAAAAATTATACAGAAATCACAAAGGGAGTTGAATATGTAAGGCCAGGCAATGGATTCAAGCCGAATTTCATGCTCATGCAAAAACTGGAAGTCAATGGGGAAAATGAAAATGGATTTTTTACATTTCTTAAAGTAAAGTGAAAATTTCCCTTTTTTTATTGGTGAAAGTGTATTTATTTATTATTTATTTGTAGAAACATTGCCCTCCGACAAGAGATGGCTTTTCAAAGAAAACTGACCTTTATTACCATCCATTCAAGAACAACGACATTAGGTGGAATTGGGAAAAATTTCTTATTAATTCCAATGGTAAACCGTATATGCGGTACGATCCAAGCAGCGATCCTGTCGATGTTATCGATTCAGATATAGAGGGCCTTGTCTCTTCTGAACGTGTAAATTCACCTCTAACTAAACAATAATTCAGCTTAAACAAAAAAGTAGTTTAAGATTTAATTGAACAGGTTTTAATTTTTAATCTCATTAATTGATTTCATGTATAAAAAATGTCCACAATTATATCAGCCTTCTCAGTCTATGGAAGAATTTAAAAAATTTAAGAATAAAATCAATCCCAAAAGTTTACATCTTTTATGTTAATTACAAAAAAATCAGTGTATTTTACATTATTAACACACAAAAAAATGTTAAAACAACAAACTAGGTTATTTATTAAGTGATGTTAATAAAAAAAAAACCCCTACTTATAACACACCTATACCTGTTATATTATTTTTCAATTTTTATTCTCAATCGTAGCCAATTCTGTAAAAACTGAATTATTATGATAAATTTGTAAACAAGTAAAATTAAGATGTAATGTAATTTGCAAGCATAATTTTTGCTTTTCTAATGTAGGCATTATTTGAAACCAAGAAAGAGTGTGAAGCCCAAATCGAATCAAACTGCGACAAACAATTGTACAAGTTAAAATGTATTGATTTATGTTTAAGTAACATTTTAGAAGTTTGAAACAAAACTGCTATGAAAAACCAACTCGACAAACGGTAACAAAAACAAAACAAATGATGCGTTTTCAATGATGACGAGATGTCCATAAATCAAACAACTGAGGGGATATTTCTGATGTTGGAAAGTAAGGAAGTATTCTTGTGCATTCTGTGCTTTCACGACTTTTCCTAGAAAATGCATTGTTTGATTGTAATGAACTGTTCTAATAGCAGTTACTTCAAATCTTGTATAAAGTTTGCGTCAAATAAAAAGCTTTCTATCAGAATTTCTTTATTTTGTCCTACAAATTTAATTTACATATTTTTTTCCTATTAAAGCTCTTGATTTCGTCTTGGAACTAACGGTTTTCATGATATGTGGTGATTTGGTTTTGCCTGATTAAGAGGATAAAAAAAGATTTCTCTGGACATTATTAATCTAAAAGATTCATTCCAAGCCTAGCTACCAATGCTATTTAAGCATATTTTTAGTTTGGCTAATCTTGGTTTAATAGATAAAGGAAAATTTTACTTAATGATACATTGAAATTAATATTTGTTTTGCCAATGCCATCCACTTTTCCTTGCTATTTCATTACGACAAATACATTTTACATTGTACCTCTCACCTCATATTGATATTAAACAACTTAAAATTCAATTTTACATAACTGTTATTTTAATAATCAGTTAAGCATGATTTTAAGCTAATTTGTGCTGGTTTAAGTTAAATATACAAAATTGCTTATGTTGATTTATTTTGCTTCACAAGTTAAGAATCAAAGTGACTATGTAAGCATATTTTTAGTTTGGCTCATTCTGGTTTAATGGATAAAGGAAGATTTTACTTCATGATATATGGAAATAAAAAATTGTTTTTGCCAATGCCACCACCTCTTTCTTATTTCTACTTCTTATATGACAACTTGGTTTAAAATCCAATCATCTCATAGATAAGTTATAGGACACCTGATTTAAAGTAACTATTTAAACATATTTTTAGTCTTGCTCATCATGGTTTAACGGGTAAAGGAAGATTTTACTCATGATAAACCGCTCAAAATGAATGGGGGTATTTGTAATTTATTCTTATTCTATTAATTTTAATTAAATTAATCAATATATTCTTTTTAGTTGGATAAAACAGAAAAGAAAATACAAATAAATGTCAATCCTCATTTTTAATAACAGATTTACTTAAGAATAGAAAATATGAAGACTTTGTGAACAAACTGCTTTTCTCCATTTTAATCCAGTTGTATTTTCTTTAACCATGGAAAGACATAATGGTGAATCAGAAGTTCACAGGCAAGAGGATATCGCTGAGGAATTGGCGTTTCTCAGTGTCATCTCCTGGACTTTAGACTGATTCTGTGAGACTGGAAGTGCAATTTCAGCCCTGGTAGGGGACCTCAGTGCATTACTACGCTAAGGGAAGACAGAAATATTGTCATTGCTGCAAGATTGAACTCTTTCCATAATTTCACTAATTTCCTGGTGCACTTGACCAATTAATATATTACAATTAATTAAGGTTTTTAGTTGAGATAAAAAAAATGGCAAAAAGGAGGGACAATTCAAAAGGTGCGGTTGAGATGGGAAGTTGGTGTCCGAGTGGATCGAGGTCACGATAGCTCGTGGTAGAGCAGCAGCGTATCAAGCCGAAGATCGTGGGTTCAAATCCCATTCGTGCCATTGACTTTTTTATCTCAACTAAAAATCTTTCCATAATGCCCACCAGATCCTAAATGAAGTACAACATATTTTGGCAAGGCCTTTAACAACAGAAACGATTCAAATTGTGTGAAATTGGCCTCACATTGTATGATTGTTTGAGATGACCTACAGCAACAGTCTGCTACCAGCAACTCAGGAGGATATGGTGCAGCGAGTGCCTAGAAGGGAATACCAATTGGAATGCTGTTATGTTTTCTGATGAATCGCATTTCTGTCTGTACAGTGATAGCAGGCAGTGAAGAGTCTATCAAGAAAAGGGGATGTATGCAATGGTACAAGGCCCCAGTTCGTGCTGCCTTTAGTACAGTTTGGAGGAGGCACAGTAATGGTCTGGGCGGGAATTACACTGGAGATGAACTGGACTTCATATTGCAACCTCACGCAGTCTGTTATGTCCAAGAAATTATTGATGAATACATCCCTCAAACTAGGGGTCTCATTGGCTGGGATTTTCAATTTTTGGATGACAATGCCAGACTTCATAGAGGCAGAGTTGTTCATCAATGTTTAGAAAACCTGGGACTTTCCCATCTGTTCCATTCCCTATTATCTTCAGACCTCAATCGCATTTAGGACATGTGGGATGTATTGCAGAGAAGGTTTTGTGATCATCATCATCATCCACAGCTAGTTGACCTGCAACAACTGAGTGTAGCGTTGCAACCATCCATGGAGTGAAATTCCTTATGAAATTAGTGACAACCTTATTAACAGTATGCCTAACAGGAGCATCGTGGTTTTAATCAACAGAATATATTATTTACAGTATTAGTTGTTTAAAAAAATTATAAACAAAATTATGGAATTATTACCTTTCATTTTCTTATTTTTCAAATTCACTTAATTAAATTTTCCTTCAGTAAAAACAAACAGTAAAAAAACAAAAATTATTAAATTTCTAATAAATTTTAATGCAATTTATTTTTTATTGTATAAAAAATAAAATAAAAATGCTAAGTAAAGTAAATAATACCAAATTGGCAATATCCCTATTCATTTTTGAGCAGTTTATAATGAAATAAAGATTTGTTTTTGCCGATACAATTCTCCCTCTAATTCTAATACTTATGTGACAACTGGATTTTAAATTGTTCCAGTTCCCTCGTATTAATATTAAAAGGCTTAAAATTTAATTTTATGTAACTGTTGTTTAAATAATCATTTAAGCATGATTTTAACTAAATTTACAATGGTAATGCTGACCAGTAATTTTTTAATGTTTAAGGTAAGTATACAACTGGGGTTCACATTGTTCCAGTCACCGCATATTGATATAAAAAGCTTAAAATTTAATTTTATGTTACCATCATTTAAATAATGATTTAAGTATGATTTTAACTCAATTTATGCTGGTAATGCTCAACCAATATATTTTTTAACCTTAAGCTAAATATACATCTGGGTTTTTACATTGTTCCACTTGCCTCGTATTGATATTAAAATGCCTAAAATTTAATTTTATGTACTGTTGTTTAATTAATCAGTTAAGCATGATTTTAGCTATATTTATGCTAGTAATGCTAACCAATAAATTTTTTAATCTTTAAGCTCAATAACCAAGTGGGTTTTACATTATTCCACTTGCTTCATATTGACATTACAAGGCCAAAAATTTAATTTTATGTAAATGTTTCAGTTAAGCATGATTTTAGCTATATTTATGCTAGTAATGCTCACCAATACATTTTTTAATGTATTAAATGTATTTACCGTCGTTTAAATAATCATTTAAGCATGATTTTAACTAAATTTATGCTGGTAATGCTCAACCAATATAGTTTTTAACCTTAAGCTAAATATACATCTGGGTTTTTACATTGTTCCAGTTGCCTCATATTGATATTAAAATGCCTAAAATTTAATTTTATGCACTCTTGTTTAAATAATCAGTTAACCATGATTTTAGGTAAATTTATGCTAGTAATGCTTTTTAATGTGTGGTAATTAGTGACCATTAATCGATATTTATTTAGAAATCATGAGATGCGGTCTGGTGTGATGCAGGTTTCAGAAAAATATTTTCTTTATCGTGCCAACGTTTTCACTTTCGACACGACACGCAAGAATGGCACAATTACACAGAAGACAAACACTTTGAGCCCTGAAGATGATCTTAATAAAGATTGAAACGTTGGCACGATAAAGAAAATGTTTTTCTGAAACCTACATCACTCCAGACCACATCTCACGATTTCTAAATAAATAAACATTTTTTAATCTTTAAGCTCAATAACCAAGTGGGTTTTACATTATTCCTCTTGCTTCATATTGACATTAAAAGGCCAAAAATTTAATTTTATGTAACTGTTGTTTAAATAATCAGTTAAGCATGATTTTAGCTATATTTATGCTAGTAATGCTCACCCATACAGTTTTTAATCCTTAAATAAACAGGGTTTTTACATTGTTCCTGTTGGTCTACATTGAATTGATGATGTCTAAAATGATTGTTGAATCATGATTTTTACCAGATTGCACGTCTGAAGTGTGAACCGCCAGAATTGGTGACGATGGTAGCAAGTATCAAGGCTGGTTGTTGGATGAGAGTGGTGGTCAGTGGACAAAGGTATGCTGGTAGGTGAACCTAGCGCTTTCTATTTCAAATTTCTCGAGTCAGTCATTCGGAACAAAGCGCTGTGGTCGGTTATGATTGTCGTTCCGTTGTGCTCGAATCCAGTAAATGTTTTATAACTGTTCTTCCCCCTTTTTATGAATAGTTTTCCGTGAATCGGCCGGGTCGGGAATCATAGATAGGATGTCCGGAAGGGCTTTGCCTCGTCGCTGCTCCTATCTTATCGAAATGTTTACTTTTCCCATTCCCTGATCAGAAAATCTGTCCAGAGTGTTGAGTTTTCCCCTTTTGACTCTCGTGTCAGGTCAGCAGCAGCGATGGTCGTCCTCACGGAAGAGATGCTCATCGCCAGGACGAAGCAGTCCAATTTAAAAGCGATCACGAAGCTCAACTGCTGGTGAGTCAATACTGGAAATATTGGTGTTGTTTTGTCGATAATCAGCGACTGTCAGTACAAAGACGATTTTGTTTTCTTATTACCAGGGGCAGCCAATTGTCAGACGTGAGCATCCTGAGGAGGATGACCAACGTCGTCGTCCTGTCCTTAAGGTAAGTCCTTACACCAACTGTCTAACTTAAGATTAAGTACTGTATACAGCTGTGACACCTCAGTCAGGTTTTGATAACTAAAATCACCTTCTGACAAAAGATTTGGGCCCATAGAACCATAGGTCTAAGATGATAGATCCATATAACATGACTAATCCATGACAATAGACATATCCACTCAACTTGAGCTGATTTCCAGCCTTTGTTTTGATATTCCTGCATCTGTGTTGTTAGATGTTCAAGACTAAACCAAAAAAACCTATCTTAATCTATTGCATAATTAAGAAAAGACAAGGTGTCTCAATTTGAAAAAAATAAAACTGACAAGATTGTTGGTTTAGAAGATGATATATTGACTCAACTTATCCGCTTTCTAGGCTTTCTTGGTCATTGCAACATCTGTATAGCTAGATTTACCAAATTAAACTTAACTCTAAATTAGTTGATAATTATTACATTAAGAAATCACAAGGTAGATCATTTTTAAAAAAAAGTTGTATTTTTGGAAAATGACAGATTGACTAATCCTTATGATTTTTTTCAAGGTTTGTTGTTCTTTTGCGGTGGACTTCATTATCAAAGGTTGAATAATAAAAATAATACAAATAATAAACCTCAAAGAATTTTGACAAGTTTTTTTGTTTTTTTTTGGAAGATGACAGATTGATTAATCCTTGTCAATAGTCACATCCGTTCAACTTGAGCTGATTTTTAGTCTTTTTTGGACATTGCAACATCTGCATAGCTACATTTACAAAAGTAAAAAACAACCTAAATTAATCGACAGTTTATTACATAATTACGCCAAGTCAAGTTGGATTATTTGTTTTTGACTTTTAACTTTTCTCAATCTCTAAAAAAAACATTTTTGTAAAGATGGTACATTAAATAATCCATGCCTATAGTAGCTCTGCACAACTTCAGCTGATATTTAGGCTTTCTTGGACATTGCAACATCTTTGTAGCTAGATTTACAAAATTAGACTAAAAAACCCTAAATTAACATAGAATTTATTACATAATTAAGAAATCACAAGGTAGGTAATCCTCACCGATAGTCGTATGCACTCAATTTGAGCTGATTTTTTATTTTAATTCTCTCATTCATGTACAAGATTAAACCAAAAAACTCTTAATTTAATTAATTGCATAATTAATAATCCTCCAATAAGCAGTCACATCTGCTCAACTTTAGAAGATTTTTAACTTTTCTTGTACATTGCAAAATCTGTGTAACTAGATTTACAAAATTAAACTAAAAAACTCTACATTAATGTATAATTTATTCCATAATTAAGGAATATTAAGGATGATCATATCTTTTTCTCCTGAAAATTGCTATCAATCTGTAAAAAAACGAAAACATTTTGACAAGTAGTTTTGTTTGAAAGATGGTATGGGGGTCAATTTGTCATCTTTGAAACAAAACTACTTGACAAAATTAAATAATTTATTACATAATTAAGAAATCATAAAGTAAATCCTTTGTTTTTCACCTGTATTATTGTCTTTAATTTAAAAAATATTAATAATAAAAAAAAGTTTTAACAGTGGATTTGTTTGGAAGATGACAGATTGCCTAATCCTTGCCAATAGTCACGCTCAGCTTGAGCTGATTTTTAGTCTTTTTTGGACATCGCAACATCTGTGTAGGTAGATTTACAAAATTAAACTAAAAAAACGAAAATTAAACTAAAAAAACGTAAATTAATCGATATTATGACATAATTAAGAAATCATTTTTGTAGATCATTTGTTTTTAACCTGTAGTGCTCTCAATCTGTCAAAAAAGACAAGTTGTATTGTTTAGAAAATGACAGATTGACTAATCCTTACAATTTTTTCAAGGTTTGTTGTTGTTTTGTGGTGGAATTCCATTATCAAAGGTTGAATAATAAGAATTATATGAATAATAAACCACAAAGCATTCTGACTAGTTGTTTGGGAGATGACAGCTTGACAAATCCTTGCCAATTGTAGCATCCGTTCAAATTGAGCTATTTTTTAGTTTTTTCAGACATTACATCATTTGTTTAGATAGATTTACAAAATTAAACCAAGAAAACACCTAAATTAATTTATAATTTATTAAATAATAAGCCAAGTTAAGTTGGATATTTTGTTTTCACTTTTTAACAGTTCTCAATCGGTAAAAAATATTTTGGTATATAAAATGATAGATTGACTAATCCATGCTAATAGTTGCTTCCACTTAACTTAAGCTGTTTTTTAGCTTTTATTTGAACATTGTGGCATTTGTATAACTCAATTTGCAAAAGTAAAATAAAAAATATCAATTAATTTAGAAATGATTGCACAATTACAAAAATATTAGTTGAATAACTTTTGTTTTTCACTTGTAACGGTTCTTAAGTTGGGGGAAAACATTTTGACAAGTTATTTTGTTTGGAAGATGACAGATTGGCTAATCCATGTCAATGGCTAATCCACTAGAGCTGATTTTCAGCCTTTGTTTTGACATTCCTGCATCTGCAGCTAAATTTATACAATTGAACTAAAAAGAATAGAACTCTAAATTAATAAAATGAGTAATTGCAAATTTAAGACTTAAGCTGTATTTTAGCTTTTATTTGGACATTGTGGCATTTGTATAGCTCAGTTTGCAAAAGTAAAATAAAAAATATCAATTGATTTAGAAATGATTGCACAATTACAAAAATATTAGTTGAATAACTTTTGTTTTTCACTTGTAACGGTTCTTAAGTTGGGGGAAAACATTTTGACAAGTGATTTTGTTTTGATATTTATTTTTATATATTTAGCTGATCAGTATTTAAAAAAAATTGTTATCCCATTAAAAATAGAATAATAAATAAATTAAGTTTCCATTTACTCAGTAATTATAATTTTTTATTTGAAAAAAACAAAAAAAAACAGCTAATTTAACAAGTAAGCCATGAAAATAAAATCAATAAAAATGAAAATTCACTGGAAACTTTCTCAAATTTGAGGCAACTAGACAAAGGTAACATTTATTTGTCGACTGTAAAAAAAACTTAACTGGTTAAAAATCATTACTGGCAAAATAAACATTGTTAAGGACTGTACAGTCTAATTTTTGATTGTTCAAACATCATTGGTAAAGACATTTCTATGATATTTACTGATAGGCAGAAAATGCTAACATATTATTATTAAATTATTTGCCAATGATTTCATTTGTGAAAACATCCAATTTAATAATTACCAATGAAACATTAAAAAGATCAAAATAAAATTGATCTAGATTGACAACAAACACAAAAAAAACTATTGTGTAATATTAGTCAAGAATAAATCAGTTAAGAGCTTATTTGCACACATGTACTAATTATTGTTGAATTAATTAAACCATTTAATTGTACTGAGTTTTTGAAAGTCAAATGATACATGGAAAGCCATTAAGATGTTTGTTTTTCACGTGTGTCGTACTTTTCTACTTTCGGCCCAAAACAATGATTCATTATCATTAATTCAACAGTGGAAAAAACAACAAAACAATTGCATCCAAAGATTGACCGATTAAAAAATTTAATCGTTAAAATTAAGACTTTACATATGACACATACAATGTTCTAATTTTTAACCAATTTTAATAAAGTTGAAAAAAATATGTTGGCTAGTTACTATCATTTTGGTCTACCTAGCTTCGCCGAATTCTGCTGTTTCAGACATGTTTTGGCATTTCGCCATCTTCAGTGGTTGGGTGATGTTTCTGGAGTGGAGAAAAAGTCATTCAATCAGAAATCACACAAACACTGAAGATGGCGAAAAGCCGAATCGCATCTGAACCAGCACAGATCAGCAAGAATAGGAAGACCATAATGATAGGTAACTAAACAATAGATTTATCACCCTGCAGACCACAAAAGGAAATCTCACAATTTAAAAACATGTTTTTTTTGTTTTTGTTTTTTCACCAATGATGCAATATAATGATCATGTATTGATTAAAAGTTTAAGCTTGATTTATTTAGACAAACTGAAAACCTAAAAAAGTGATATCAAATCAATTACGATAACAACTACATCATGTCACATTATGCCAATTATGAATTATTATTCAATTTACTATTATAATCACTAATTTTTTAAAAATATTTTTATTTTATTTTAGACCTCAAATTATTTATTTTTTAATTTGGTTTTGTCTATTTGACATAGAGCTAGTTTTGGTTTAAAAATTAATCATGTCCTTAAGTAATAATAATTTTAACAGATTACCATAAATAAATAAGTTAAACAATTAATTTAATTAATAAAGTTCTATCAATCCTAATAAGTAATTACATTTAACAACTTAATAATTAACATAAACAGAGAACCTAAAAATTAGTAGACCTCAAATTATCAGCTAATGTTAATTGCTTGGTGTGCTTTTACTACTTTGAACCAACATGAAAATTGCCCCATTCGCCATCAATCCTGATCATGCTTGTCTGCTTATTCTTACTGTTGTCAGATGTGTTTCAGCATTGTGTGATTGCTGAGATTGGACACAGATCCAATACAGAAAATGTTGAAATGCCAAAAAGTGTCTGTCAGACCAACACTGGGAATAGACCAAATGATATGTAACGACCAAATGCAGAGATAATCTCACAGCAGACGGTACAGAGAAAACTCACAGTATTTCTTAATTGCCGAATACTGGGAAAAAATTTAAAATAACAAACACCCCCACAGGGGGGGGGGAATTATTAATTATGACTGTGTGACGCTAGTTAATGACTAAAGTTAAATAATCCTGTCATATAGGAGGGCTTTAAGTCCAACTAACTGTTGTATGTCACAGAAAAGGTGTCAAACCACTTTACCATTTCTATACATTTTTCATATTTATTTCTCAATTGTAAAAACCCATGGGCTATGCTGGGATTTGAACCCAGAACCCTAGCTTGGCAATATGAGCCAGACTAACTGGTCATTGCAATCCCCTAATTCTTAAGTAGATATCTTATAAATTTTAGATCATTGTGGCAATAGTAACGATTGATATGTGACAATATGATTTTTTGTCTTTTTTAATTGTTTCGTATGTTTTTACACAGAGACAAAGCAAAAACTGAAATTATTATTGAACATCATAAGTAATAACTTCATTTAACTATACTTTTTTATCTAAGGTATTGATTGAGGTGAAAAAGAATAATTAATTGAAATAATTAATATGGTCAATTATGACTGCTTAACATATATAGTTCAATAAGTAATAACATAACTCTAAAATTATAATAACCTATACCGACAAAAAATTCATTTCATAAATATTGCATAAAATTACTTAACAAAATAACGTGAAAAAATAAAACAAAAGTGATCAATTATTAATTATCACTAATCCTTTTTCAAACTTTGTCAGTAAAGACATTGATCGTTGTAGTTTGATCATTTGTGACATTCTCCCTTTACTTATATCATACTAGATTAAAAACTGAAACAAAAATTTTTATTTTGCATTAGTGCTAAATTTCTGGAGATTAGTTGAAAACAATGGAGGAATAGTTTTGACATGAGTTTTTTCTCTATTTAGTGAACTTTTGTCATTATTGTGCAATAAAGGCAGAATTTTTTTGCTGTAGATGACAGCATATCAAAAATATATTTTATATTTAAAAAAATCAGTTTTGAAATAAATTATGCTTTATATTGCACATTAATTTTTTTTTAAAGAATATACAATGGTTATGAAAAAGTTATTACAAGTACTGTTTCTGTTAAAAAAGCCTGTATATTTTCAACCCTGATAGAATGACACTTGATTACAATTCTAGATTATTATTACTGTGTGCCTGTTTGATATCCAGGAGTTTGGACAATTAAACAGGCAATATTTCTGGAGATTTGAAAATCTCACCGATTACTCATATACTGCTATGTGGGAAGTTTGTTATGGATGTAACAACAGAGTCTGTCTGTGGGTGTGTTGCAAGGTTTTTTACTCCCACATATTTTTTCAATCCGTTTCACAAATGGGGATATTGCACAATAGGAAATCCCAATTTGTTGACTCTTGTGGGAGGAAAAGCCCTTCAGCCTTTTTCTTTTTACAATTTGCATTTGTTTTCTTTTAATATTAAAAAAGATCGGATAGGAAAAAAATAATTATTTAAAACAAGTTTAGTAATATTTTCTGTAATGCACATTAGTTGTAATTATAAATGGATTCTGTGAACGACTTCCAGTTAGTGCCTTTCTTTACAAAACAAATATTTCTTATGTAATTGTACTGAATCTGATTTTCCCCTTAATGACTTTTTGCACAGCTGAAATACAATTCATTTCTTTCACTTTCAGTCTGTGTAACTTATTAATTTTGTCTTCCTCACTCAACAGTCTGATTGTAATGCGTGAAGGAAATGTTAAAAAAAGAAAAAATTGATTCGGGGCATATTCATTTGTGACACAAGTTGGGCTCTGACCTTGTGAATCGCAAAGTACAATACATCCTGTCTATTACAATCAATAATGTCAAGCTTTTGGCGCTTTGTGCAATTACACATGACAAAATTGTCAATTGACAATAGTATCCTATACTTTTCAACATACCTAACTCAAACCTAAACTACACCTTTTGGCATAAAAAAACCTTTAACTGAATATATGTATTTATTGCATATGTTTTAACACAATTTAAATTGTAAATTTCAATTCATGTAATTTTTTAAATATAAATAAATAAATTAATTAATATTCAAAATAGCTAAAACTTCTATATTATGTTGATTAATTATATTGCATTTCATTCATTGGACTCATTTTGTCCTACAATAAATTTTACCTATTGGAAAATATGATGTTAGGTTGAAAATATTATGGTATATTAACTGTACTTTATTGCATCAGGAACATACAACCATTTAGACATATCATTTTATTCGCATGCTTTTCTAAAATTGAAACCAGACTGAAGAGGGGAGGTTGGTGCCCCCGAAATCGATATCGCTGTAATAAAATGATATGTCAAAATGGTTGTATGTTCCTGGTAAAAAAAAAAAAAAAAAAAAAAAAAAAAAAAAAAAAAAAAAACAACGATCGTAAAATAAGTGAACAACCATGAAGAAAGAAGAGAAGAATAAATATTTATTGTATCAGTTTTGACTGATTACTTGAAAATACATATTTAAACCAAAAATATTGAAATATACAATTTAAATTAATTGATTTTGAGTAGATTAATCCTTTTTAAAAATATTTGTATTTGTGATAAACAGATTTTTACATTTGTGTCATCATTGCAAGAGAGTTGAGACTTGGTTGAAATTAATTGTGGGAAAATGGACTTCACTAGAGCGCAACTAAAAATTCAAATTATATTGCTATTACTTTAATTAGTCCATGTTCTTCATAAATGTTACAATCGATTAATGAATAAAGATATTATTAATTGTGCATGAGGAATTATTTAATGTAATACATAATTAAATGATCTTTAGATGAAACTATGAGTTCCCGAAATGCCGAGCAAAATGGCTGAAACATTCCACAGATTTTCCTCCTTATTGCTTAAACAAAAGCCCTCAATTTATTCAGAAAGTTATCAATAGTATAAATTATTAAATATAAGAGAAAAAAGGTATTTTAACTATTACTATTGTTGTGTTATTGTGTCTTATATTTTATACTGACTTTTTAGTACTGAAAAGTACTATACTGTACCACAATGGCTGTATTTCACTCCCAGAACCACAAATCAGTTTCAAGTTAAATGAAATATCCCTTAATTGTCCAAATTTTATGAATTACATAGTCCAATGGCATTTGCCTCTTTTGCCTGCCACAAGGCAAGAAATTCCAGGAGTTGGACCTTACTGTTTTAAAATACAAGGACAGATTCACTGATTCAAGTCAATTTTTTGCCAAGTGAGGGTGAAGTTCTGTCATACAATTATATTTTACTGACTTCTCCAAAACTGTGGATGAGCTTTCATGACGCCCAGACAATAAAAAACTAGACTGCGCAGTTTTAACAGTCATTGATGGCATTTTGGCTAAAAATCCTTATGCTGAAGCACACAGGACTCCAGCTGAAACAATGCAAGATGAAACTTGAACTTGCATTTTGTTGATAGTGTAGATAGATTTGACAAACCTACAGATGAAACAGCTGGAGTTTTCCATTCTTCTGAAGGACAACCTCCAGATCGACACATCGTTGTGCACTATAATCAAAGCGTCTAACTGTTTTATGCCCTCGTTCCGTGTGTGAGCCAGGATGGGACTCCAAAATGACCAATAATGGCATGAGAAACCAAACTCGTTGTGAATGTAACAATGTTACAGTTTGCTTGCTATCGACTTATCTGCAATCTGTTTTCATAAATCATATTCCATGATTCCGATTATAGAAGGGGCTAATTGTTCCAACAGGGTGCTAATTATTATTAATCACCAAGCCTGGAGGATCGTGGTAGCCAAGTGGTCAGAGTGATAGATTCTTGTGCGTTCATTCCACCCCTGGTATTTTGTTTTTCATACACCACTTCACCCAAAAATACAATCATACAATTAATTCATCACTCTCTGGCTAATATTGAGAAATAAGTTCAATTAAAGAAAAAAGTAGCATTTATTTTGCCTTCATGAATAAATAATGATAGATTTCGTTTTATACTTTTTTAACATGTTAAACTTTATATACTAATTTTTTTTTAATATTTTTTTTTGCTTATTAACATTACATATTACTTTCTTAACCTATTATTTGTATTTAGTTTGTGTTAAAACCTAAAACGATGATTGTTTTATAATAAAAATATATAGTTTAGTTAGTAATATCATAATTATTTCACCATTTTATTACTTTATTACAAATTGACATGTTTACAATTTGTTATCGTGCCCTGTATTTACCTTTGCTACGGTTTTTAAGGGTAATAATGTTTGATGTTGTGTGGAAACATTTTACCTGGATAGATAACATCAGGAAAATTCCCATGGTTTTAATTGGCCAATTATTTGAGCCAGCTTTAATTTCTGAAACGTTATCCTTCACTTTCATCTGTTACTATTTTTCTGCACTGAATCTGCTTAAGGTAATGAATTGAAAATTGATTTCAGCGTAAATTCGATCACGTCCCTCGTGGATTTTCAGTTTTGCAAAAAGCTGCAGGACCTTTTTATACGTAAAAACAACATCCAGGATTTGAACGAAGTCGTCTATTTGAAGGACCTCGAACATCTGAAACACCTCTGGCTCGGTGAAAATCCCTGTGCAAATGTCGACGGGTAAATAACATTTTAAATTGATTTTTTTGTTTAAATTCTTTATTTGTTTGTAAAGATTTTTATTAGATTAAGATTAACTTATCCAGTTTTCATATATTCAGTTAATTATACGAAATTTTTTGAAATGTGGCATGGGCGATTGAAGGCATAGTAGCTCAAGTGGTTAGAGAAGTGGTGTATTGAGCCGAAGGTCGTCGGTTCAAATCCTGCCTTTGACACAAATTTTTCGTTTAGAAAAAATTGAGTATAATTAATTGATGTGTATGTATAATTAAGAATAGCTTGATAAAAATAATAAAAGTTGGTATAAACCAGTATTATTCTTGTATTTTATTTGCAATGCAGTTTGGGCCATGTACCTGGTCTTTTTTCAGAACAGTTATTAGAGCTTGAATTTGAATACCTCCCCCCCCCCAAAAAAAATGAAAATAACAATTCGTTAGGTTCTTAATTAAGAATTCATTTTTTGATTTTTTTAAAGATACCGACTAGCAGTAATAAGGGCATTGCCAAAGCTTCAGAAGTTGGATGATGATCCGATTGATTCTGCCGAAGTCCAGAAAGCACTGAAATATGGCCGGGTGCTCATTCATCCCGAACAAATTGGGGTTTGTATTTATTTGAAAAAAAAAAAAAAATAGACATGTAGCTGTGTTTTGCTTGTTTATTTATGTTATAATAATTAGTCTAGTATAATAATTAAATTAGAAAATATAGTAAAAACTATTTACTTGCTGTATAAGCATATTTTTAATAAACTTCACTGCTTTTATTTATTGTTAGTATCAATAATTAGGTTGTTCCAACCAAATTAATTTTTATAATACGTATTTAGTTGAATTTTAAAGTGTAAAATCTTTTTGAAATGTAATTTTATGTATGTAAATAATTTTGAAATTGCAATATAAAAAAAAAAGTTTTTTCTTAACTATCTAAGTTACTGCTTTCTGCAATGGTAAAAAAATTACTTATTTAAATATTGTATTTCGTTTTCACACATGCATTTCATATTTGAGTTATCGCATGATTGCTTTATGAAATGATATCACATTTTGCATTCACAGTTGTCTATATTTAATTTTTTAGGAATACTATTCCGACCCCGATGAAGAGTACGAACCAGAGTACACTCAAGAACCACAGGTGTATTTATTCGATATAATTATTGTAGTTTCCAACCTGTCTTAACAAGTTTCGCATATTCTCATATTGCCCGTCTTATTAAAAATAAATGTTAAAATCAAAATTTTTTTACTAATGAACTTTAATCTGTTTTGCAATAATCTTAACATCCAGATTAGTGCAGATATATTTTTATTTGTCTTATGGAAATACAAGTTATATTTTGTAATTTTAGTTTTACAATTTGGTGAATTAACTTATTACACACCATTGATTTTCTTTATATTTCTTCTTCTTGAGGTTGATTATGTAAATAAAATATTTTTTCCGAAAAAGTGTAAAAATGATTGTGTAAATAGTTAACGTATTTACATTGTCCTTACATATTTGACATAAATGCTAAACAGGGTTTTCAAAATTGGCGTTAAGCAGGGTATTTTAAAATTTACCAAAAATGATTCCTAATTAAAAAGTTGCACTGCCCACATTTTCTTTAAAGAGCACTGTAGATAAAGTTTCTTAAGTTTGCAGATGACTGAGTAATGCATTTTGAAAATAGATGTATGTATTGTAAATGAAGTTTTCCTTGCATAAATGTAATACATTTAGAATAAATCACTTTGTTTTCTGACAGAATGTTCTCGAAGTGACAATAATTTTTATTTACTGTGTTAGTTTACTCATTGTAGTTTTATTTTATTAAAACAACTTATTCCATTGTAATAATTATTGTTTGTATTTGTCAAGATATTAAAATGTAGACGACTATAGATAAATCTTATAAAATATTCTGTGAGAAGTAATTAAGTGAATTAGAAATTATTGCTTGTATGTTTTCATGATGCACTTCTTGCAAAATTTAGTTATTTAAAGGTTTCCCAACTTAAGAAATCTTTTCTGAATCTCTCCTCTATATCTACTGTCATTCTGTGCCTTCTTGGTTTTGGGTTGTTTACTTCCGCCATCTTCTTTGCGGTGTGAATTTAACTTGGAATATTTCTAGGACAATTCTCCTTCTCCCGATGAGAGCCCTGTCGAACCGACTACGAGAAATAGTTATAGCCCAGAACCAATCGTCCAGTGAGTTTCAACCTCTTCAATTTATGCTTTCTTGTATTTAGCTTTGGGGTTACAAAATAGACGATTTTTTAAATTATCTGCACTAGTTGTTTATGTTTGCTGTTGCAAACCGAAGATTTTTAACTGCTTAAATAAAAGTTTTAAAAAATTGTTTTTCCTTTTTAACACTTCATTGAATTCTATCTTCTTTTATTCTAAATCATACAATAAAATTCATATTTTTAAAATGTAACAACATATCATTTATCATTTTTTTAATTCAAATCTAATCGTTAACTTTTTAAATAAAAAAAATGAATTAATCTCTTTTCATTTCTCCCAGGGATAATAATGGGTCAATTTTCATTTTAATCACTTTCATTTTATAAATTATTGCTTTAATACTTTTACACAGTATTTTAGATTATTTTTTATAAAAACATTGTAACTAAAAGAAATTTGTTCATCAAGTGCGTATGACTTAAAATAAGGGATTGTTTATGATTTTATTGATTTAATTTGAAAATATCCTATTCACCAAATAATTTACTAATGATCTTATCCCAAGTAACATTCCCAATAATTTAATTTTGTAGATATCAAAGGGAAAGGGAACATGTTCCAAATAATACAACCAATGAGGTAAATTTTAATTTTTTTTATATTTTAATTTTTTATACATTTTAATTTTTTTAGTTATATTTTTATTTATTGTTTATTGTTATATAGGAAATTGTAATAAATATTATTCAATAATTGCTGTTTAATTTTTTTTAATTAATTTTTTTTTAAATAGACTGAGCAACATTACAATGATGTAAATCAACATGGTGATTGTGTTTCTGATGCAGATATGTATAGAGTTAAGGTAATTTTTTTTAATAATTATGTTTTAAAGACATTTTGAGTTTATATTTATTTTAATGTTTATTACAGTATGATGAAAAAATGCCTGATGTTCCCCAACGCCCACCCCAGATTGGTGTAATTCACAGAAGTCGAACTGTAAGTTTGATATGATCATTTATCGCTCATGACACTGACTTTTTTATCTCAACCAATACCTTAGATAAAGATTAATTAATTGAAAGATGTTAATTGGTCAATCGGACTACAAAATCCAATGAATTTATCATTTATGTTGCCTTATGTGTGGGTTTGCCACCTTATTGGCCAATTTGTGCTTGTAATGTCTCAAAAAACCACGACTGTTCTGTTTTTGGGCATTCAGTGGAAGTGGCTATCCATCACATTTGATTGAAGTGAAAGTATATCAGAAGGGCTTAACATTACTACTTAGGTGTTGCAGAAGATGGGGATTTTTTCAAATCATTTTTAAATAAAAGCCAAAAGGCAGTGTTGGGATTTGACCCAGAACCACTAATGCCATGATTCAGCAGATTTGATTTATAATGATTTAAGTATAAGCTGTCAGTTTAACCTCTATAATTCTGAGTGAAATGTACTCAAATTAACACGGCTAACAAAGATTTTTTTTTATAACACATTTTACTAAAAAGAGTTTAAAATCATTGGTTTTTCCAGTTATTAATGCATTTTTCAATTAAACATTCTAAAGTTTTAATATTTTAAAATACAGCTTCCTCAAGAACGCTGCTATTCTCCGGACCTTGTAAGCAGTAACAACAGCTATGTTGTTGATCCAGGGTATAGAACGTCTACTCCTGTATATGCAAATAGTAATACAAGAAATGTTGTGAGTCATAAAGAATTTGAATATGTATACGTAACGTATCTAATTTAACATTGTCAATATTTTTTAATATACAACTAATAATAAAAATACAGTTAACAATAACAAAGGAAAGCTTTTTGCTTCAGTGCTTTTTTGTTCCAAAAAAAAAAAAAAAAAATTAAATATCAGCAGTACTGCTTTGAATATGAGATAAAGAATACAGTAGCTGAAGTTGGGTAAAAATGCTTTCAAGTAAATCAACAATAAAAAATTGAAGATTAAAAAATGGGCTTTAATAACATAAAATCTTATTTAACATAGCTTGCCCATCTCTGATTGTTATGGTGATCTATTAAGACACCACTACAGTTAAATAATATAGGAAACATTTATTTTTTTAACTTTTGTTGGAAAAAATAGTCTTTCTATACATTTTAATTAGCTAAATGTATTTAGCTTAGCATGGTCTGGGTTGATCTATCATAAAGGAAAATATAGGAATCAGCATGTACAACTCTTTGCAGAAGTATGTAAGGTTTATTAACAAGGAGAAGCAATGGATGTGGGATCGTTGAGTTTAATGAAACTTTTTTTAGGCGATACTAGGTTGAAAAAATTAGACACAAATCTTAGATTTGTACCATTATAAAAAAAAGTTTTATTCACTCTAAGATGCACAAATAAGAATTTTCATCGTACTGTTTTCGCGGTAGCAATTTGTATCTTGCTGATGTCCAGTGGTCCACTGAAATTTCATAATCTGGATTTTATTTTAAAAATTGTGTTATTACAGTAGAAATCCGTTTATCCTGGACTTGAAGGGACTGGGACTTGTGATTTTATTAGTATCCTGTCGTAAAAAAAAACACTTTTACACTGGAACACTTTTATTCATACATCAGGTTACATTTAAAGTAATAGATAGTTCACTAATTTCGTGGTCCGCTTGACCAGTTAATATATTACAATTAATTAAGGTTGTTAGTTGAGATAAAAAAGTCAATGGCATGAGCGGGATTCGAACCCACGATCTTCGGCTAGGTACGCCGCTGCTCTACCACTTGAGTGAGCTATCGTGACCTCGAATCCCGCTCGATCGTGCCATTGACTTTTTTATTTCAATTAAAAACCTTAATTAATTGTAATATATTAATTGGTCAAGGGGACCACGAAATTAGTGAATTTAATGATTTAAAATGAAGTATACTTCATTAAAACTCTCCGTGGCCATTTCATTTGTTGTCGAGAATCCAATCCGATTACATGACATTTGAAAAATGGGAAAAAGGAGGGAAAATTCAAAAGGTGGGGTTGAGATGGGAAGTTGGTGTCACGAGCAGGATTCGAACCCACGACCTTCGGCTAGATACGCCGGATCGAAGTCACGATAGCTCAAGTGGTCGAGCAGCGGCGTATCTAGCTGAAGGTCATGGGTTCGAATCCTGCTCGTGCCGTTGACTTTTTATCTCAACTAAAAACCTTAATTAATTGTAATAGAGAGTTTTTATTAGTTTTATTTTTGTTTAAGTCCGGACACGCGTTTCTCGAAAAATTTATAAGTAAAAAATACCTAATAAAAATATACATAATAAAAAAAACCTTTTCAATGAAAGCCTACATACGAACAACATGACACAACAATTTCTAGTCTTTTAAAATAGTATACACTTTTTTATTTTTAAATATATTTTTTATTTTATTTCTTTTTTTATTTCTTTTATATTTTTTAAACAAAAACGTGACCATTGGCCTCTCCAGCCTCTTCGATCGTGTGGGTAGTGGAAGGGTGATTTGGTGGCCTTTACTAATTTCGAACGACAAATTAAAGGTCCTAAGTTGAATTATGAATTTAAAAAAAATAATATACATACATTGAGAATCATGAAAAATTATAAAAAAGTGTGGTGTTTAGTGACAGTTAATTAATGATTATTTGGAGATCGTGGGACTATACCACTATACACTACTATACCGACCACATCTCACGATGTCCAAATATTTAAAAAAAAAATCTTTTATCAAACGGGTCCGGATAATTGAGAAGGCTGGATAATCGGGGTCTGGATAAATGGGTACAACTGTTGGAAAGCAAAATGTCTACTCTTTCAGCATACATCATCATTTTATATTTTATATCATTATAAGTGCTCAGATGTTTTATTTTTATTTCTATGGTTCTAATTTACTTACAAAGGCAACATCTATGCCATTACGCATAATTTATATGGTTTTAAACACCTGTAAAGTTTCCGATTGATCGGTGTAGTTGTTCCAAAGTTTATCACAATTATTGTGATGTTTGAAGAAAATTGAGGCTAAAATTTCAAGTAAAAAAAATTTTTTTTTTTTACAAAAATTTGTGTTCGAGGGTTTTTGAAAATACAAAACACAAATATCAATTTTGTCATAAAAAAGTTTTGCTCTAGACAAAACAACAAACAAAGTGTATATTGGATGCGTTCCTAAATGTAGCACAGGCTTTTGATGTCTGACACCTGGGCATGCTTCATAAACTAAAACGCTTCTTACTCCTTATTACCTGAAATCCTCTCTTAAATGACCGGTGCTTCAGAATGAGGTGCAGCAAGTTCTCGGAAGTCAGACAGATACAAGCTGTTGTCCCACAAAGGAGCATGCTTGGTCCATTTTTTATGTCATCTATACTCCTGACCTACCTGCATATCCCAATACCATTGTAAGTGGCGACTGCACTACGACCGTATAATCTCTCTTTATTTTCTTGTTTTATCTAAGTGATAAGACAGTAGTTGGCATAAGTGCTTCACTACTTATTTTTGAGTAAAGGAAGGTGAGGTTCTAGAATTTAATGAACTGGACAGTATGTTCTTCAACATTTATTTTAACACACTTCTTTTAAATGTACACAAACAACACAAAAAAGAACCCCATGTTAAGAGACAATAACTTAACTTGGACAATAAAGAAGACGTCTAGGACCGAAATCTGCCTTTTCCCTCAAAACTAAACTAACCTTATACAAAATTTGATTGTGACCATTTTGTACATACGGTGTTGTGGTTCTACCAAGATATCCAACCTGTCCAATCAAAAGCCTTCGGGCAAATTGTTAAAGCTCGACTTCACTATCCACAACAATCTCAACATTCCTTATGTCAACGTACTGATATGTTCTCGATTCTAAAAGTTTCCCACCAACCTCTCAATCCAACTTAACCCTACTGACCTAACCCCCTCTCAACACATTCCCATCTCAAGAACCTGCTACATCGCTTTAATTGACGATGGCCTCGAGACCTCCTTTGGCTGGTTTTTCAGGACACGAGTCCTCTGTGTGTAGCATTGGCCTTAGGACGCACTGTGTGAAAAATGTACTTGCTTTGTCACTCAATCATTGGCAAGAATACTTCACAAATATGCTTCGTATGCTTTTTAACCTAGTATTATTTAAAAAAAAATTCATTAACAATAATGATCCCAAGTCTGGTGTCTACTTTTGTAAGCAATTTTTGGTTTAATGCTAAATGAACGATTAATATAAAAAATTATAAATACTTTAGCAACCGAATGTCCAGTCTGAAGCAGAATTTTCATACAATAATGACTGGAAGAGAAGGAGTTGCCAATCTACCTGTTGTATCCAAGGGACCCAAAAGAGGCCAAATGAACGAGTAAGTTTGTACAATATTGTTTTTTTCTCACAAAATGACATTGTAATTGGACGTTTGCAGCGGACGAATGTACTCAATGCTGTTTTGTGCCTTGTGAAGGAGCTGGACTATCCCAATTTGGAAGTCGTTCAAATGGCGGTGAAATGCAGGATGGAAGAACTTGCAGAAATGTGATTACTATTTTTTAATTAGTCAGAACTAATGAATAACGTCCATACTGCTCGACAAAATATTTCTAACTAAATTGGCATAGACTTAGAGACACAGATTGTGATAGTAAAGAAATTTTTGTTCGTACAATTAATGTTATATGGATTTTGTTATCTTTTCTACATTTCTATGTAAATAAGGAAGTGTTGTGGCCCTGTACTTGCTTGCCATTTCTTTTACTATTGAAATTAAGTGCTGTGTGATTAGTTGTGCATTGTTAAGTTTTTAAAAATTTATAATTTAAATGTTTACCAGTTGATTTTATTTTCAACTAGTATAACGTGTGCAATTATTTAGAATCAGTTACTTTTAGCTACTGGTGTACCTGGTTCTGTTGTGTCTTAAAGTCGACCCTACAATTTTTAACCTATTTGATAATTTATATTAACTTAAAAAAACCTGTACTTACGTTTTTATTTTGGAGATTTATTTATAAAAGTTTTATTTTTTATTTATACAGATTTAATGTCTAAATAAAATTTTTACACTGTGGTCTATTAAAATGTTAACAGTAGATTCACCTTAAAAATTATGTTACTTGTTGTCTAAGACAAAATTGATAATTTCTTGATGATTGGTCACACCAATTTTATAACAATAAAGATTAATCAAAGTAACTTTTCTCATTGTATCAACCTGCGTTTACCTTTTAATTTGTGTTTGTGGTATCTTTTTGTACAGTACTGAAGTAACAGTATTTGCTTATGATAATATAATTTATGTACTAAGGAGTCAATTTTGCTTTTAAAGAAATTTATCCACATTCATTAATTGATAATAAATTACTTAAAAGCTAATTTATGTTGTAACACTACATGTCACATAAGTGGGGAAAAAAAATCTTTTTGGACGGGGTGGTATAATGGGCCCGGCTGAAGATACAGGACTCTAAGAAAGCGGGGTGAGGACGGCGAAGGTCAGGGGGGTTTGGGAAGCGGAGGAGAGCGTAGCGAGGAGGACGGCAGGGGCCCAGCTGGAGCATCCGAGAGAAGAGGTGTGGAGCAGTTGCGACACGATGGTGAGGACGCGAGCGAGAGATGAAAAACAAAATCGGTGATGGAGCTACTCGCACCCACAACTCAGGTGGTTTTTTCATGAAACATGTGACAATGTGTTAAAAGAATCTTCATTCTAAGGAATGTGACATTTTCTGTTGTTTTCCACTTTTAATAACTTAATAAAGATATTTATTTAGAAATCGTGAGATGCGGTCTGGTGTGATGTAGGTTTCAGAAAAACATTTTCTTTATCGTGCCAACGTTTCGATCTTTACTGAGATAATCTTCAGGGCCTGGGATTTACAAACATACTACATCACACAGACCGCATCTCACGATTTCTAAATAAATATCGATTAACGGTCACTAATCACCACACATTAATAAAGCTAATTAATTGTTAGATTTCCTCTTGTATGCAGGGATGAACAGTTAGCTGTTTTTGATAATTTTAGTCTGCTTATCCTTGCTTATTTAGTCGTCAGATGTGCTATGGCTTCTCACAATCTTCATTGCTAGATTCATGTGCTTACTGTCTAAAACCTGAAAAAAGAGAAAATTTCCCTCTTCTTGAAACTTCATAAATCAGTTTGAACCAACTGTCTGGTGCCGAAGTAAACGTAGGTATAAGTACCCTTAGCTACTTGCAAACTCATGGCCTAATCTTATCCTGATACTGCATTCTGGAGGGGCTTTAAATAGCTGAACTGCAGTAGTGAGGTTCAGTTCGAGGACAGTTCTCAGCAGTTGGTAGCCGAGTATGCCTTGAGGCCAAAATGTTTCTTCCTTCCAGCCCAGTAACTGATTAATGCTCTCAGGGTAAGTACAACATCGTCATCTAAAAGTCATTCAAGCTACTCATTTCAAAGATCCCCATTAATCTGTCCGATGTGTATGATTTTCAAGAATTCCTATTACATTATATTAATGCTGAGTTTAACAACTCATTAAACCCATTAACAATTTTTTTTACATTAGATCAAACTACAAAAGATCGACAACTGAAACAGCACGAATTTGTAGATAAAAATGATAGGTAACAAGAAACCTACAGGTTCATCTTGGGACCCAATAGAGAAATCTCACAACTTTTAAAAACTCAAAAAAGTAGCAAAAGTTAAAAAGTTATTTCTAAAAAATTCCGTACAAGAAATTAATGTGTACTGCAGTTTGAATCATATCCTTACTGTCAATCAAGTTTATTTCTGCTGGTTTTGCTTGCCATTTCTGAGTATCCATGTGTGTGTATCTGTTAGGAGACAACAATAACCTCACTACTAAAGATGGTGAAGTTTTGAAACATCTGATAAACCAAACCAAACTAGTGCAAAGTTCAAATGACTAAAATGGACTTAACTATCGGTCTATTGTGCATCTCGTTGTTTAGAGCTCATTAATCTTAAGGCTGTTTACCAGATTCCATAATTTTGTTAAGGACTTTCATGTATCCTCCTGGCCAGGTATTTCTCTTTCCAGGAGCTTTCGTACAAACAGAGGAAATGTTCCGCTGTCTCTTCTTCTTATTGGCAATCCTGCACAGGCTTGTTTTTGTCACTCCGAGATCATAGTGTCAATAGTCCAACTATCCATTCTACTCTTAACAAGTCCAAGATTTAGTGGGTGTGCCGTTAATCATTGCAATGGTTCTTTGATGAATTTTTTCGTATGACCCTAATCTGGCATTCCATTAAACAGAGGATTTATTTTTAACCCATTGAGTGCCAGTTTGGTTTGTGGCATTTACATGACCCGGACTCGAGTACGCTTTCTTGCCTTTTTTCAAAGACGATCAGTTATGGTACAGGGTGGAATCTACGTCCATGCGTGTACCGAACTGATTATCGTACAGAATGGATCCTTGACAGCACTAAGGTAAATTGAGGACGTTCTTCCGTAAGCTTTGGTTCCTTTCTGTCTATTTAATGTATAATAATGCTCGAGTTGACACCCATTACATGGAGGATATAGTGTATGTACCAATGAATTGACTAACATATTCTCCTGATATGAATCCCCTAGAACCCTTATGGAAGCTAAAGAGACGGGTTAGACATGGACTGCTCTTTTTGAAGAATGGGATTGTGTATCACAAGACGAAAACTGGTGCTTATTTACTCGATGCTTAGGAGACTTTAGTCCCTCTGAGGCCAAAGGAGCTAATAAGTCCTATTAAGATCAAAGTTGGGAAATAAATTATTAGTTAAATTTTAATCTATCATTTTATTTATTTATTTATTTAGAAATCGTGAGATGCGGTCTGGTGTGATGTAGGTTTCAGAAAAACATTTTTTATATCGTGCCAACGTTTCGATCTTTATTGAGATCATCTTCAGCGCCTGGGATTTACAAACATTGTTTACATTTAACAAATACATGTAGGATGTGGAAAAAGTGAATTTATACAACGCAAAATATATTTTTTATATTCAATCAAAGTATTTCTACTCACTCAAAGTGTTTGTCTTCTGTGTAATTGTGCCATTCTTGCGTGTCGTGTCGAAAGTGCCAGTGAGATTTTGCTATTTTGTGTTTATATACGTTGGATTTTGAACGGGTGGGGAAGGATGTCGGTATAGAAAAGACATTTTTGTATGTAAATATATGGTGATTACTAACCGTAAATCGATAATTATTCAGAAATCGTGAGATGCGGTCTGGTGTGATGTAAGTTTCAGAAAAACATTTTCCTTATCGTGCCGTCGTTTCGATCTTTATTGAGATCATCTTCAGGGCCTGGGATTTAATTGCCGACCCATCACCAACGTTTTTTCCCTTCGTCGGCTCTTTTCACCTCAAAGAACCCGACTCCTTATACAAAATCTTATATACCGACTTCCTTCCCCACCCCTTCACAATCCAACATATATAAATATAAAACAGCAATATCTCACTGGCAGTCTCAACACGACACGCAAGAATGGCACAATTACACAGAAGACAAACACTTTGAGTGAGTAGAAATACTTTCATTGAATATATAAAAAATATATTTTGCATTGTATAAATTCACTTTTCCACATCCAAAATGTAATTGTTATATGTAAACAATGTTTGTAAATCCCTGAAGATGATCTCAATAAAGATCGAAACGTTGGCACGATAAAGAAAATGTTTTTCTGAAACCTACATCACACCAGACCGCATCTCATGATTGGTAAATAAATATCGACTAACGGTCACTAGTCACCACATATTTAATCTATCACTAAATGATTTTCCAGTATTTTGGTAAATTTTCTTTCAAACCGTCATAATTTAATATAATTTTTTGTTCTCGTTTAATTTGGTTTGCATTAAAATAAGTATGTAATTAAATATGTATGAAATTAAAACAATGATAAAATATATAGTTAGAAATAAACAACAAAATACTAGTGTCCGCCTTTTTGACTTTGACTGCGTATCCTATTAATTAATAGACAAATAAAAATTAGACTTTTTTAAAAATGAAACTGAATTGTGACACCAACAGTTTATTTCCATAATAAAAATTAATTTGGTGCTGTTGATTAAAATACCTTTTATACATGTGAAGCTAGATCGTTAATTATTGAATACCTAACAAAATAGAATAATGAAAATGAAGAAATTCTTTTTCATAATTAGGGAACAAATTAATATATAACATCGTAGTAAGACGGTTTTTTCCATTATTCAGCTTTATAACACTCCAGTGTTTTCTTTAAAAAAAAGTTAGACTTTAAATTTGAATTTTACAGCTTCACTGGAACCCTAATCTTTTTATCAGCCAGCGTTCCGTTCCAAACGCAATACATGATTGAGAATTGATTTGAGGAGAGCGCGGCAAATATCGGAACCGATCGAATAAATATTTACTCCGCCATCCGAACCACTTGAGGACTTCGTGTTTGAAAGAGAGTCTTCATATTTTGTTCATGCTATCGGTTTTATTCTTCATACAATACATGCTTAAATAAATAACCAAGAAAAAAAGCGATAGCCTAAAAAAGAAAGGATTAATCAAGAACAATTTAATTTTTAACGATAATCATATTCAGACTTTCAGAGCTAGTTATTAGCTATTCCGAATGTTTGTGCTATTTATACGTATCTGACACAAATATATTTTTAAAA